TACACAACAGTGTCTCAAGATTTGTAATTGTTCTGGCAAGATGACATTTTCACATATGCACATATTATCTATGTGTGATGACAATAAGTTGTCTTTGTCGTGAAGTCAGTGTCATTAACTCGACAACTTTTGGTGTGGAATAATGAATAAATAAACAAAAGATCAAGTCAAATATTTTCGTCGCTCTTTTACACAATGAGTCAAAGCAAAGCAACCAGTGGCCGCGGAAGCTGTGGGGACATTAACATTGTAGGATGGGGGAGGGAGGGGTTTATATAAGATGGGGAGATGATGCGGACATCGAACAACCGTGGGGACATTGTCCCTCACCCTTCCGCCTCCACTGAAAGCAACTGTAAATAAATAAATTGATTGCATTGCATAGCGAAAAACTAGAAAAATCTGGTTGTATGCAGAAAATCTATGGATTTATTATGTGCATTAAGATGAAATACCTGTGGTTCTTTGATTGATATGGCAGAATTGCATTGAATTGCATTAAGTTATTCGTTTCGATAGGTACTTGACGATGACGACTTTTGTTGATGCATAGCGAATTGCCAATTTACGTAGATCCCTACTTGGTTGGTAATGAGAATGAAATTGTTGAGTGTGGGAGTTGTTCCAATTTTTTGGCACTCTTGTGCCTATCTCAATTCGCATGGATTACTTTATTGGACTGGACTGGACTTTGAATTCATAAAAGTACAATGATAATGATGATGATGATTTGATCTTAATGCTCGTCGATTGAACAAAGTACGATGGTCAGAGTACACATTTGGTAGTTAAGACTAGGTTTTGTGTACGTATGTTGTACTTTACTGCAAAAAAGAGCATGCCAATTACGATTAAGTTCCTTTTCTTTCTTCCTGTCCTGCAAAATCCAGACAGCATTGTGCGGAACATGATTAAACAAAATGTGGATCTTGCATGTGATTTTTGAGATGACGCAGCAGTACAAATCTAATCTACGTACGTAACATGCTATGTACGTATTTACAATTTAAGCGAGTCAAGTCTGAATTGGTCTGTGTAATATAATTGTCTGTAATTATGTACATACATAGTATACAAAACTTATAATCAGTGTATGTACATATGCACATCCAGGGAAAACCTAACCTCGGGTTTTCTATCGCTGGCAACTTTTCTGTGCAAATTTCCCCTTGCAAATTGTTTTATTTCTTCTTGAGAAGTAATTGTAATCTTGTCTGCAATTTTTATGCGTGACGGTGAGCAGCCCTGTTTTTTATCCAGTTTTCCGCAATAATCGTGTCCAGATGAATGAAATGAACGAATTTTTGCCAGTGCAAAATTTGCACTGCAAATTCATGAATGACATGACACAGCTCTCTTTATCCATCCACGTGTCACGTGTGGTGTGGATGTAAACCATTAAATAATAATATTTAATTCACCTTTAAAAAAACTTATCTTTTGCCCGTCATCTTAATCGTTTCGCGAAAGAGTGCAAAACAAAGTGCAGAGGTTATACAATTAAATATTTATACGCAATACATAAATAAATGAATAATATGCAGCATATTTTTTTCCAAACATGCACGCGATGAAGGTTTCTTAAGCAATTGGTTGGTACATCTTCTCGTCTCGTACACCATAATTTTCAATGTTAATTAATCTCGTCCACCCACAAATTACCTTACTTTACTTTTGTGCCTTACCCGACCTGAACACGAATCCACGGCGTGGTTATCTACATATTAATAGTTATCTAACTAACTAACACCGACCTTACCTTAAGTAATATCCATCTCTGTCTCTCTCACCCCTTGCTGCAAGGCAACCTTACCTTACCTTGTCCTTAATAATACATTTTCATTATCACGCCAGTAAGTAAATGAATAATAAAATTATGGAATTTACAACACTTTTTTCCGCACGTTTAATTAAACAGAAATAAAGTTCACAGGGAGATTATACAATCGACAATCAAGAATGAGTAAGAACCTTAGAAAATTAGAGGACGCTTTTTTCCACTATTATTATTAACAAGATCAATTACATGATACAGTGGCCGCGGAAGGTGTGGGGGCATTAACATTGTAGGATAGGGAAGGGACGGGTTTGGATAAGATGGGGAGATGATGGGGACATGGAATAACCGCGGGGACATTGTCCCTCTGTGTCCGCGGCCACTGTACATTACATGAAATATTAACGACCATAGTTAGTAATAGTAATAAAATATGCACATATTTAGATGCACCCCTGGAATCAATTACAACCCATTAGTTGGAAATTAATCATACGAGTTAAATAATTAATCAATGTGCACTATTCTCGACCTAGACCCATTTTTATTCCATTTTTTCTGCCATATTTGCATCGCACACTTATTTTTGCATGTACGTGCGGTCACATTTGCCGAAAATCAAGGATCACATTATGACGGAATATTTAATTTATCATCTCGTCCTCTCACGAAATTAAAGCAATATTTATATTTGTCTTTATGACGATAAGCCGCTAAACTAAAAGATGGGTGAGGTAAGTGCACAGATATGGACGGACGTTGGTCCATTCATTACATTACGACATATCTTTGTGTACATATACCGTCATCGGTAAGGTAAAGGTCACTTTTCTCCATTAAAATAAACATATTTTTTCATACTTATTATTATAAAACTGTTGTAAATATGGACGTATACACGACATGATGAAGACTGCATTAATAATTTGATTTGTGTCAAGTTTAGCCACTCTCATTCACTGACTGCCTGAAACCACGGACAATGTTTGGCTGCACATTTATCTAATTTAATGTTTAGAAGAGGAGGAGGAATAAAAATTTAGCAGTATTTATGTATGCTAGACTTATTTTGGAAAAATTTCTGAGGGACGTAAGTACATACCAGAAAAAACGATAACAATTACATTTTTGAAGTTAGTAATTCACTTAATCGCATTTCTTACTGAATGAGAGATTAGAGAGAAACAATGGGTTCTTAAAGTCATCATTTAGTGAGCTGACCACCACCACTGTTAGGTTAAATAGTTGGTTAGTTAGTTATATGTACTTACTTATTAGTGACCACTTTGTCCTATCTCATCTCTATAAATGTGGGTCACTGTCAGTCGCACAGCCAACAATATACACCTGATATACTCGTTGTCGTCATTCATAAATGGAAAAGTTAACGAATTGCTTAAAAATGCATCTCTTCTCCAAAGTCACGTTTCTTATTTTTATTGCCAAGCTGCATTTCCACATTATTTAGTAAGGATTATTTATTGCAAAAACATGACAATGGATGCAACAACACCTGCAATTTCGCAGATTTACTTTGTTTGTCCGCTACACACGGTCGGCTCATTTATCAAATTGTATCCAGCTCGAGTCCAGGATTTGCATACTTATAATATTCGCCACAAGGTTTGCAACTGTGAATTATTTAGCGAGGAGGTGACTTCGCAATTCTCATTATTATTTATTTGTCACCCCATCCATCATTTTCAGACGGGGGTACAAAAAAATTTTCAGCAGTGGCCGCGGAAGCGTGTGGACAATGTCCCCACGGTTGTTCGATGTCCGCATCATCTCCCCATCTTATATAAACCCCTCCCTCCCCCATCCTACAACGTTAATGTCCCCACAGCTTCCGCGGCCACTGTCAGAAAGGATTAAAAGTGTGTCGATCCGTGGCTTGGCGTGGAGGTGTCGACGACGTATTTTTTAGTATCCACCTCTGGTCAGGTGGACAACAATACTTGCAAATATTTCCTTTATAATACAACGGCAACTATGTATTTACGAAGGCCATTCCTCCCCTGACTCTCATTGAGTTCCGTTAATTGACACTTCTCGTAATAAAAAAAGCATAACAAAATATCAACACTTTGTTCTTAACACAGAAGTTTACACCTTTTCTTTTCAAGTAATTCCTATTCCTGTCTGTGTAAAAGTAGTAAATATAATAATTTTATGGACTAAAATGTTAATGCACGTCTTAAATATAATCAGGAAGAAATTAAAGTTAAATTTAGTTGGGTGGAAGTAAAATGTAAATGTGTACGTAAAATTAGTCGTGATTTAACAATCTTCCTATTTATTTACTTTACTATTGAATTCATTTCATTCCTTGTTTGTTTATGCCAATTTTTTGTCAGCTGAAATTCACTTTTTTTGTGGGATGTTATTTATTTGAGCATGATCTCGACCCGTTGGTGACGAGTTCTTTTGTGATACTTTTATTTATTGTGATTCAATTAAGGCAGGGATTTGATTATGGAGAAGTAATCGAGCATAAAATGAGGAAAAAATATGTTTTGTATTATTTTATTATTACATCGAGTAATTTAATGACGATAAAATAAAGTGAGGAGATTAAATAGGTCCAAAGTTTAACCTTGGCATAAAAAAATAGTTTAACTGAGGAGATTTAATCGTCCACTTGTTTTGCGATTTGATGCGACATTTTTTTTTCCTGGCAAAATTTACTTACTTGTTTATTTAGCTATGGACAATTACAATTAGGGAATAAATAATAATGGGCATATTTTTTCTATTTGCGTAGATTTGGATCGCTCGCTGAGTCATTGTTCATTGTCTAATTATTAGAATTTTGATGGTTTTGCATGTTTGCTGTGGTCATGCAATTATTTTGCTGGATGACGTTTATTAAATGACATGGTCCAGACCAGTCTATTATCTTCTGGTCACCGTCATGCATGACAATCTGGAAGTGGATTATTGCGTCCGCTGATTTTTTTACGTATTTATTTACAAACGTACATAACATCCAGAATTTTAATGTGGGATTTTTACTAGGAAAAAATGAACATGAATTTAATTGAGCTTTATATAATGTCCACTTAGCGGGGAGGAAATTAATTGTGATGATTCCCCACGGGGGCTAAATCTTTATTGTTACGGCATAATAATAAACTTTCTCCATTTTTCTGTGTCGGTCTTTAATTCAATAATAATAAAAATGTGCATAAAATTAAACCATTTTTTTCCTCTAATTTTACAGCAGTGCGACCAATTTATTGCAAAGTTCGGCCAGTTCGCGATGGGTAATTGTCGCCAATCCAGGCCCGGCAGGGGACCAATTTGTCTGTTCGGTCGCCCGTGTCGCGAAAGATGCCAATTATTCGTGGAAGACGATCATCATTGGGGAAAAACTGGAATGTTGCAGGTATTTGGGAAATTACGTACGTATTTGCAAAAAAATTGGCATACCTACTTATTAGCATAATTTATTTATGTTAGAATGCCCGATTGCTACTCTATCCATACGTCCCAATTTCTACGGATGAGTTATCGCACGGCCTCCACGTTGAAAAGTTTGATGGCGTCGGAGGTTGAATTAAACAACAATTCGACCACACCGAGTTCCTCCGCGTATAAAGAAGTCGTCCGGAATTTAGCCTACATTTGGGTCATCCATCGCGGAGCCAGGCACGTTTTTGACGCTTATGTCGATGAATATATTGCAGCCGGGTAAAAATTTTTACAAAATTTTGTCCTCTTAAAAAAATTCAAAAATTTTAATATTTTTTAAAATTCTAGCGTATCGATCCCCCAATTTGAAGAAGAACTAAGTCGACAACTCCACACCTTAGCCTTGGACGAATCTCTCGCCCTGGTCGAAGACAGTAAGATAAGTCACCACCGAAGTCGTGGGGGTGGCGGGGGGAGTGTTTTCCGCAACCCGTATGCTCACTTTGGTCGGCCAGATGTTCGTCTCGTCCCTGGGGGAACGGGGAACAATTATTTGGAACGGCACGGTCACCACGTCCCCCTCAGCGCGGCGGCCGGGGTGAAGCATAACTCGTCCCGAAGAGCGTCGGAATTTCCGACGTTTCGAATCTGTGAAGTGAGACCACCTTCGATTGAAAAGGTGAGATTTTTATAATTGCGTCATTTTTGTTGTTAGTCATCATAAATCAGGGCCAATGTCGCAATCCTTGGTATTTATTTTTATAGTTTTTTATTTGTTGAAGATGAAGACTAGGGGACAAATAAAATTAGAATTCTCGCGTTAATTATCAAGGTATATGGTAGCTTGTTGCGTAATCGCTGTTTGTTGCATCGTGGTCACCAGTGACAAAACAGGGGTTAAATGTTATGGCACAATTTTGTACATTTTTATAGTTGTTGCATGCATTATTGTGTGGTTGGTGATGTGCAAAAATGAAGGGAGGGGTAGATACATACGTATGCAGTGAATGAATACTTAATTATTCAGGTGACGATGAGGGTATACTCGAAATCTGACACTTTCACCTTCGTGCGGATGCAAATTTTTGTTATTGAGTTTGACGTAGTTTAATTTGCGCATTGAAATCGAATCAATACACAACAAAGCGAAGGAGAGAGAGGAAGTGGATGATTTGCAGGTTAAAGCGTGACGAGAATGAAAGTGATGGTGACAAATTAGGTCAAAAATTATCCAGCTCCATTTTTTTATAAAAAATCTGAATAATTTTTAAAAAATTCCAGTTTCTCGAAATCGATGACGGTTGGTGGGATCTCCGCGCTCCAGCCTTGGTTTTACCTGGCGATACGATGCCACCTCTCTGCACGCGAAATACGATTTACAAATCCGACGTATTCTGGGCACTTCCGATCCTCCCAGACTACGCGTCGGGCAACGACAATGGTACCGAGGAGCAAGACGTATTTCCGGTAAAAAATAGCACGTCCCGCATCCCGCCCTGGTACATAAGAGGTCTTTGGAGTCAAAGTTTGCTCGGCGATCTGGGTGGGTCAATTCGACTCACGTTGTCACGAGTCCCCACGTTGCAATTGTATGTCTTTTTTATATGAAAAAAACTATGTGCTTATCATTACCAACTTATCTTGTTGCGTTCAGGAATCAGAATTACTTCACTGGCGGCGACTACGAGCCTTCCTCCTCCCCCAGCACGTCGAAACTCTTGAAAAGATGGCACTGCAAGTCCCGCTCAACCTTCCGCTGCCTTCTCCTCATGTCGAAAGAACTCTCGAAATCCGTCTACCTCCGAAAGCACGACCTCGCTCTTATCGAGGCATGGATAATCGACTTGAAATCGATCCATTACGCGGAACCCCCCATGCTCCCGAAAAGACGCTCCCATACGAATCCTTGCCTCGGGGCGGATGGCCTGCACGGCGTTTCTTTCTTCCCCGCCCTGGAACCTCACTTGTCCTCCGTCGCCGAGTCCGAGTACAGTTTGGCGAAACGGAACGAAACGCTGCGAAGCTTGGTCAGTGCAGCGGACAGGCTCCGGGTCAAACGGGATGAAGGGCTTTCCTCCGATCTGACCCCACCGGGAGAGCGTTCCACATATTTTTCTACGGATTGGAGCGCCTACATTCCAGTGACGGAATCAACGTCTGTCCAACGATACGGGTCGTCATCGTCATCTTCTTCGTCAGAGGATAAGAGTTCACAACTCTCCTCGAGCAACGGCCCCGTCACGTATTATGCCCATTTCCGCGACGCCTTTAGAGAGTTGGAAGACTCCCCGTCGGATTTTGTGAGGACGTTGGTCACCCATTCGAAGCAGAAGGCCGAACTGGCCGAAAAACATAGGCAGCAACAGCAGAATAGGAATGGAAAACAATTTCTGACTCAACCGTTTCCGTTATCAAATTCAAAATCGGGTTTCTCATCGTCTGAAACTTCGTCTCAAGAGGAAGAGTTTCCCATTTTGAAGGCAATGACGGAAAATATGTGCACCGGTTTCGGACCTCTGATTCCTTTCAAGCCGCGCAAAACGTATGACGACCTCCTTCTCATTGTCGTCTTTTCGAACCAGCATTACGATCTGATCCCCACGCTGGAGGTCTTGTACCGTTCCATCTTCCCGAATATGCTGTACTGTGGTCACCCCCATGTCTCGGTGGACCTCTTTTTGAGAAAGTATCAAACCGCGGAGCATCGCTCGTTCTCCTTTCTTCCGACGTATACACGAGCCACGTATGAGTGTAAGTACATATAGGCGCTTATCTGTACAGTCTTATCATGTCCATGTATAAATAAATTTAAATTTTGCAGGCGTCCTGGGCGCGATGGAGATGAACTACGAGGTGAAAGGCTACATCGTGATTAGTGATGAGACGCTCATGAAATCTTGGAACATTGAGGACTTGGACAAGAATAAGATCTGGGTGAGCAGTTCCACGACGCATGACTCTCGCCATGTCCCCGTGACGAAGGCTTCCTGGAGAAATTTGGACCCTCGTGGACAAAAACTACCCCGACTTTTGGACGGGATTGTGAACACGTGGAAGCTCTTTACCTACATTTTGGTTGGTCATGATGGATGGAGTATAGATCAAGGTCAAGGGCAAGGGAAAAGTCAAGGTCAAGGGGGACCGATTACTGTGAAGAATATCAGAGAGCGGAGAGACGTGGAAAAAGAAAATGATAAGAATGGGAGTACCTCTGATAAGGACAAGGAGTCCCTTGAAACCGGGGAATCGTCCTACGTTTCCCATCAGATCGATTCCCACTCCTACTCCCCCTTTGGAAACGACTCTTCCAGCGATGTCGTCGCCGTGGTGGAGAGCAAGGCGGAAAATTCGCTCAAGGCCGACCCCCCACTGTCCTTTGGTACTGGTGGTGGAGGATGGGACCTCTCCCCATCCGACTGGGACAACAAGGGCAGCACCATCTTGAGCGAAACTTCCAACGAAACTACAACCACGACCGAGACGGATGGCGATGTTGAAGTTGGCGAAGAAGATGAGAATGAGTCCGCTTCAAATGATGATCTTCTAACCGGATCGTCACTCCCTTCCGCCTCGTCGTCACCATCGTCTTCCTCCACACCGGAACCCATCATGGACGAATTAGAGTCCATCCTTCTCCCAACCCCGTTATCGAGCGAGCTGCTGGACAGCTCTTCGTCAAACAATTCTAATAATAATAATAATACGAGTAATATATCGTCCTCAACCTTGTCCAGTAGTTTGAGTGATGGTGGTTCCGCCGGGGAAGAATTGGAGGGTGGTGGTGACCTCGCCTCCACGACGACGGCGGGGACTGTCACCACGACCGGAGGAGACAGCTCGTCCGTTGGTGTTCCACTGTATCACGTGGAACACGCCGAACCACCCACGCCCCCGACGTGGCATCGACCAGGGGATGAAGCCACGCTTCGTCCTGAGAATAATTCCACCTCGACAACAACCCCTACAACAACCACAACGCAAAAAATGCCACTCCAAGAAACTGCAAAGTTCCTCAACAAGACTGTCCCCGGTGGTGGTGACGAAATCCAAGAACACCAACGGGAAGTGATCCCCCAGCGGCAGGAGGAAGATGTCCCCCTCTCCGTTAATTATGACCCTCTTCCCAGCATAACGACACCCCCCACTTTCCCAACATCCTCCTCGACACGACCCCCCGCACAATTTTTACAAAGCGCGATAAACCCCAGTTCCGACTCGGAGCTGGTGGCTCGAGAAATGGAGCTTTTACTAGAACATGTGCAAGACGTTTACTTAAACATGTTACATGTCGTCTCAGAGTACAAAGAGTTTAACGAGTCCAAATCACAAGAGTTTAGCTCAGAAGGTAAGTACTTATCAAAATTTCATTTTTTTACCTCTCAAAAAAGAATTTTTTTCACTCATCCGTTACTTTATTTGTCCTGTAGGACCATCAGAATCCATATTGTCCTCGACACGGTCAAGCCTACTCGAGGATACTAAATCGCATCGAATCTCCCCCCGAGAATTTCGACATATCCGATGCACCCTGCAAGATGACGGGCACCAGTCGGAACTTTGCTCATCTCTTCGTTCCTTCATTTCCACCCTGGGACAAAATCTGGGTGGGGAAATTGAGTTAGACTATGACACGATTCCCATGTATTATCTGCCCTCCTGGGCCACCAAATCGGTAAGCCCATCCAGTGATAAGTACATAAGATAAGCTATGATATTAAATTAACTTCTTATTTTGAAACTCTAGTTCTACTCCGTTGCCAATGTGCTCCTCCATTTCGGCGTTATGGATGAGGTTATTGTTAATTAACAGAATTACATAAGTACTTAAATAAAGTTAACCATTACATCTTATCTTATAGCTCGCCCTTCCCCTCTTATTTCGTGGTCTGGCGATTGAAGGGGACTGGGTCAATTTGCGGAGAAGTGCAGCTCTAAAAGTCATCTCGGAATATGAGGAGGATTCACCCTCCCCCGTCTCCCTGCCCCCACCAAACGTTCGATCGACATCGTCCTCCTCGTCCGCAGAGGAAGATTCGCCATCCTCCCCAGCCCATTATTTTCATCCCTTCAATCTACACAAGGTTCACAGCGACTTGGACAAAAGGAAGCTCTTTTGTTCAAACTATTTACTAAAAGTGTTTCAAATGTAGGCTTGACGTTTAAAAAAAAATTAAAATTAATCATAAAGTCATCTCACTTCAGTATTTTTGTGTTTTGTTTTTTTTTCATTAAGTTAAAAAGTTTTTTTATCTAATTTTCTTATTTTATTATGTGAAACGACTTTTTTTGTGAAATTGTGTGAAATTGTGTATGATTTTTTTGTTTGATATTATTCGGCTCGTTATGTAGTTATCTTCCTTATCAGGTCCTTAATATGTACCTTATCTGCTTGGGTATATGTATGTATTTTCTTCTTCTTCTTGGACTGACTCATCGTCCAGAAACTTTTTATCGTAATGTGATATTGTTTTATTGTCCAGCTACAATATGTTATTATTTAGAGAAAGATAAAATAATAATTTTTAGCCAAATGATTTTCTTGAATTTTAAGAACGGCATTGCTTACATGCAAGAACAAAAAGTGAATTATAATATATGTACAGGATAAGAGTTGTGTACAATAAATCGTCCAAAATTTAAAACAGTTTTCCTCTTCGCAATAATAATGTCTGATTTTTTAAAGAATTTGTAGCCTGGCTATTGATAAACAAAACGGTTCTAATTTTCGAATTGCACTTGTTTCATAATTATGTTTTGCATGCATTTTAAGCAGGTCTGCGTTTACACAATGGTTTGATACGGATGGATTTTAGCTCCTTATTGAACTGTGATGTACATTGCATATCATTCCAAACTGGAAACAGCTTTTGTTTTTCTGCAGTTTAACGCCAAATCAAATTTATTTCATTAACGGAGCTCGTAACAAGAGGAGAAATTTGAGAAATTTGCGAAAAAATTTGACACGGACATAGAAAAATTCAGAAAAATGATCTTTTCAACAAACAAGCCTCGTCACAAGCATGGTTAATTGATAAGATGACAGTGAGGTAAGTTTAGTTTCAATGCATGAAAAATATTCTGCAAATCTTTCATATTAATATTTTTTATTATCCATTTTAAACTAGTTGAGATATATATTTTATAATGGTGAATAAAATCGTGTTACATAGTTATCCACCAATTAACTCCTGCCTAATTGCGATTGGGCGACAACAAACAATTTCTTCACTTAACAATTCATGAAAGGATCAACAAAAAAAGGATTTTCAAACGTACATATTTTGCAAGTATATATTTATAAATGTATTCATGAAGCAAATTCCGCCTAAAACTTGACCACATTATTTAATGAGGCTAAAAAATCACAAAAAAACTACCCAAAAAACATAATTTTCACAAAAAACGAGGCAGATCAATAGGGCAATAATTCGGAGAAATGTTTTTACTGATTAAACATAAATATATGTAATAAATTTTAACAATAATTTATTATTGGATATTTAATTGACAATTTTTTTATATCCTGCATTTTCTAATACACAGGGAAAAAAATTATTAAAGCTTTGACAAATGGGATCTTTAAATTCACGTCGTATCATCATCGAGTTGATTATTCTTGATTTTTTGAGAATTTTCACATGTCACCTGGAATTTATACAAAAAGATTATTAAGAAATTGCTTATTTTTTTACGTTGCATGATACACCCCAAAAATCGGCAAGCGGATGATGGCAGAATTTTAGATAAGCTATAGGCGAGCAAAAATGATCCATAATAATTTATTTATTTTTAATCTATGATGTCCTGTTATCCAAGAAATTGCAGGAGAGAGAGAGAAAGAGAGCGAGCAAGATAACTACTTATCCTTGAAAGACCAGACTCATTTATCGTTCTTCCCTTGATAACTCAGGAGTGGATTGAACTTAACGGCAATCTCATCTCATCTATCACGTGCAAATTATGCCATTAATTACTAACTTAATTTTTAATTAAAAAAGAAGAAATGGATCACTTTTGTTTTGCCAAACACAAAAAAAATTGTACGTTACGGAGAAAAAATCAGCATTTTTCTTAACTTACTCTTGATTATTTAAAAATAAATCAGAGTTTATCATAAATACGAGCACGAGAGAGACGGACAAATATTTAATTATAATGAGAACAACTACACACAAAAAAATCATCACGATCACAAAAATTTGCCGTAAAACCCGAAATTTTTTTTGAAATTGCAAAAAATTTGCAAATTTGGGTTGCAAAAAGTGTGAAAATTTAGACGTAAATTCCGGGGTTTACGACGTTCATATCATCAAAGAGACGTTATCCTTAAGTACAATATGGGATAATTTATTCAAGAACAGAACAGAACAGAGGCATAAATGCAAGAGAGATGAGATGAGAGAGAGAGAGATACCTGGTTCAAAAAGGGGACTTGATTGACCTCACAAGATGAGATGATAGTAGTACGAACGAACAAAGTAGTGAGTTATGATGGGGTCAGGTGGGGTCAGGTCAGGTCAGGTGTGACATTATTAAGGCTTATCATCAAAAGGCGATGATTATGACGATACAAATGTAGAAATGACGTTAATATTTAAGAGCATATTTAAGTCGGAGCTGTAACATGTAGCTATTTAGCTAATTATAATTATATACATCTTTAAATACATAATCCAGTCTAGCGAATTGGCAGTTAACGAGTGAATTAAAGTCGTCAAAATCCAGTCCGACGACAATAATAAATAAATGCAGAGAGTGGTATCAAAAATGAACGAGATTTATGATGATACCTCGAAATTAAGTAGTTCTTTTTCCAAAAAGAAGTGGCAGAAATATTGGCAGCAATATTATAATTAATTTAAAATGTAACTAACTGTCATAAATTAATTAATTATGACTCAATTTTTGTTAAATGGAGATTTTGGCGAGCGAAAATCTCTCCTTCGGAGCAACGGTGCGGGCAACGGGACTTCGAGAAAGTCGGACGTCGACTTCCCCGAGTCCGATTTGACCAAGGAGCACGACGACGAAGAACAGGCGACGACGGGGTCACTGCCATTGTTACAGTGTGCTTGACACGTAGAAGTCGTTCCAACAGCGGACATAAGCGAAAAATGGGATTGAGATAACAACTCTCCTGGAGAAAGTTTCCCCCCAATTTCACCAAGTTCAAAAGTTTGATAAAATTCTTCGCCAAATTCTTCTTGCAAAAGTTTGAAAATTTTGGAAGGAAACTTGGAAAATCGTTTTGTTCCAGGCTGAGAAAATGAGACCCGTCTCGAAGTTGTTGTTGTCGCTGAATCGGATTTTTGGCGGAGGTGAAACTCATTAATGATATCGGCCAAGAGTCGGTCACGTGTTTGCGGTGAGGTGGGCGACAACACGCCGGAAGATCCGGATGGTGACGAGTTTGACGTTGTCGCCATTTCCGTGCTGTTAGAATTGAGGAGGATGCTTTTCAAGGGGAGGGGCGGGAGGCGGGAGCGCCGCGTAGACGTGTCGACGTGAAGTTGCAGTTGTGTCGTCGCGGTCGTGGTTGTGGCGTCAATTTCTTCTTCATGGGAGGATTTCGCCTCGTTGTCCTCATTATGAAGGAAGGATAATGGTGTTTTACTCGAAACAAATTGCTGCTCACAGTCGAAGAATTCGTCATCCGTGGCGTCATCCTCGTCTCGGAAGGAACTCTCATCTTGGAGGAGTTGGAAAAGACGAGAGTGCGTTTTCGCCCGTTGGTACCGTTTCCTCTCGGCCGAGCGGGACCTTGGTTTCGTGACGGTGTCTTGGAACTCTGCCCGTGAGGTGGAGGACTCCAACATGATGAGAGATTGGGGTCTTGGTCGGCGAGGGGAGGGAGCATTGTTCGGGTTGGCTCGGTTGGACGCGGCTTGTTCACGAAGAGAGCGACTCGAGGAGGAAGTTTGGCGTCGGGTGACCACCACCGATGAGGATGATGATATAGCAGTCGCAGCAGTGTTATTGGTCGTGAGTAAAAGGTCGTTCGAGTTTTGTTCGTCAGGATCCGTGTCGACGTCGGAGATGGGGCGACTCAAGTCGGTCATGACGCCGGAGTCGTCTTCACTCCCCAGGCTGAGAGATTCGTGGAGGAAGCGTTCAATTCGCCAGAGGAGGGATTCTGCTCGGGAGAGTTGGGAGTCGATGTGGCACGTGCAATTGTTTCCTTGATGGTCTTTGGATAGTTTCATGGATTCGGATATTTCCTGGATTTCTAGAGGTCTTATCTCGTCCGATTTTGTCACTGGTTGGGTTTGATCTTTAAAATCTGGGGGTGTTTCATCCTCAGGGGATGCTACTGCTTCAGATAAGTCTTTTTCTTCCTGCTGTTCTTCGTCGGGATCTTCATCTTCCTCAATTTCCACCTCGGCCACGGCAGCCACGCTGCTTTTGAAAGATTCGTCCGAATTGGCGTCATGTTCATTTCGTGCCGTGACGCCTTTGACCGTGGTTCCACTGCTTTTGGAGGAATCTTCAGAATTTTCTTCCGTCCCATCGCTCAACTTTCTCTCGGGGACGAGTACTTTCTCCTCCTCAATTTCCGCGTTGATTTCTTCCTCCACCGTATTGCCTGCCTGTTCTTCTTCTTCTTCCTCCTCCTCTTCTTCTCCTTGTTCTGGATCGGTTTCTTCTCTATCCACCGGAAGTGGGAGGCTGATTTGGACATCGACATCTGGCGAAAAATCATCCGCGTCATTACCCGTCGTGGTGGTGGTTGTATTGTTTCGATCTATAATACTGTCCCAGAATGACCATCCTACCGACAAATCGTCACCTTGTTGAGTGTCATCGTCTGTTGCGGGTGTTGGGACAGATTTTTCGACAACTTCTTCTTCCACTTCTTCCTCTTCTTCTGCTTCTGATCTTGCAGAATTTGTTCCAATTTCCGGCGAATTTCTTGGAGGGGACGATTTCGGAGAGGATTTGTTTTTGCTTTCCGTCTCCCACACGAAACTGAACGGGGTCGGACGGCTATCCAATTTCAGAGATCGGCTGGACTGCCTCCCCCTCAAAACAGGTAAGCCCACGGGGACGGAATGTTTCTTAAACTTTTTGACTCGGTGTCGCCTATGTCGTTGACCAGAGTCGCTCTTCATCCCAGAGTCGGACTCGTAATCTTCACTGATTTCAAAGTTACCAGAGAATCGCCGGGTTTCTATTGTTCGAAGAGATTTGTCCCAAAAGTTGAACTCGGTGTCCCAACTTGTCCCGATTTTGGAGGAGGATGTACTTTTGCCAAGATTTATGGTTATTGTTGTCGCTGGTGGATCAACAACTTCTTCTACGGACTCTGGTGGTTCAATTTTGGCTTCATTATTTGTATATTCTTGTTCGTCATCTTGGTCGGTTTCTGCTGTTCCCCAAAAATCGTCAACGGCTTGAAATTGTTCTTGACTTTCCTCCTCCACGGGTTCACCACTAGTTCCGAAGGAGCCCCGATAATCATCCACGACTGTGACGTCCTGTTTCTTCACTTCTTTCTTACTTGAAGTCGAGGGACCGATAATTTTGCTCCAAAAGTCGACATCCTCCTCTTGTTCTTGTTCTTCCTCGACTTCCGTGTCGCCCATTTTCTCATCAATTTCTGTGTCATCCACTTTCTCCTCAACTTCCGGATGAACCTTCTCCTCGTCTCGGGAGGTTTGTCTCGATAAAGAAATCGTGAAGGAAACGACGGGTTCGTCATCTTCGTCACCTTCGTCGTCATCACGCCATTCGTATTCTTCATCTTTGACTTTCTCCTCTTGCTCAGTAACTTTCTCTTCTTCGACGCCCTCCTCATCTCCTTCTGCCTCATCCCCTTCTTCCTCCTGCCGACCCACGTCCACATCTCCGACCAACACGGTCGTGATATCTTTATAACTTTTCGTCTTCCCAAAGCACAACTTGAGCGGGAGTCTGACCGTGACGGCGACGGGTTCATTTTCATCGTCGCCATCTTCTTCCTCCTCTTCCTCCTCCTCTTCTTCTTCACTTGAAGAACTCGAACTAGTCTCGTCCTCCCGTTTCGACACGGACTGTTGAGATTGTGAGGCAGACTTGTTTTCTATCACAGACACGGAGGAGGCTTCATCCTCACTGGGCGATTCTTCCTCTTCTTCCTCCTCTCCCTCAATTTCTTGCCCTACTTCCTCCTCAAATTCCATTTCCGGTTGTTGTTGTAACCTGCCGCTCCTAGGGGTGGAGCCTCTCGACTCATCCGTCAACTCTTCAATCGTGCTGAGAACATGTTTTCCCCCCGGCGGACGAACCGCAGCCTCACTCTCTGACGAAGAAAAGTACTCCTCAATCAACATCGACATCGAAGAGGGCGACATGACCTCATCCACAATCGTGGCGGCGTCGGAATCCTCCGAATTACACAGCGTCGACACCGTCGAGGAGGACGGTTCTTCCACAATGGGCGTGTTGCAACGGTCCCCGTCTTCACTCATCCAACCATAATTATCAGACTTGTTACATAACTTTACATCATCGTAGCAGGAGTCGTCTTCAGTCTCGTCATCACATTGTTGCATATTTTCCACATATTTTTCAGTCGATTCAGGTAGTTGTTGTTCATTGCTATCACAAAATTCGTCATTTCCCTCAACCACGATTTGTGGCACGTCAAAGTAAGAAGAACCGTCGGGGGCCAATGTGCCGGCGAGTTCTGGGGGAAAGTATGGGTTTTCAGGGTCCCACCCTTCCGGATAATCGTACCCCGTCATGTCATACCCGGCCCAGTAACAGGTCACGTAGTACCACCAATAATGCCAAGAGAGGTAAATGGAAGGACAAGGAGAGGAGGACAGACCACCACCACCACCACCACCGCACCCACTACTATTAGCTATGTTCGTGTCTGAAGAAGAAGAAGAAGCGTCAGGTGCTGGCAATAAGAGAAGAGAAATAAATGTTGGTGGAAATTATGGAAAATTATGAGAGGAAATTTATAAAAAATAAATAAATCACGTGTAGATAACGAGCCACTCACTCACACTAAACTTAAGAAAATGAAACATGGAGAGGAGACGTGATAAATGATAAGGTACATATTTGCATAAATGATAAGAAAGATAAGGCCCAGCCAGAAGAGGTAAATAAGGCGAGAAATAAATAAATTTTTGCAAATTACGAATAATTTTCAAAAAAAATCCTTACCATCCGCATCCTGATCGGGTCCCGTCATGGCTTGCAACATTTTGAACGAGCGTGACGGGATGTTTGAGCCCATGTACTTTTTTGGGGAGAGGGCCCTCTGTTCGGACGGGGGGACGGGGGAAGGGACTCGGTCGGAAGGAGGGGTCGGAGAGGTGGAGGACATTTGAATGGGGATGTTGTGCATGACGGGACCACCCAATTGCACTTTGTCTGATTTTGGGGAAGAATAAAATTTTTAAAATTTTGAGGAAATTCGAAATTTTCGATTTTCGAATTTGTTTAAATACGCTTACTTGTCGTTCTGGCAGGAGGGGCAGTACTGCTACTGCCAGCAGATTCAGAAGGAAGTGTCGTTTGTAACGTTTTAAAAGCTTTCGATGGTATGTGACCCCCTAGGAAGCGAGGTTCCGCGGTGTTGTGGAGAAATGATCCGTCGTCGACTATATACAATTTTGTATGAGGTGAGAAATAATGAATGATGAAGATATGAATTTCATACATATGCAAATTTTTAATTGGTAAATATGTGCAGAATATCGAGAAAACCTTGCGGATTGAAGAGACTGAACATATTTTGTTCATTTTGAAACAAGTCCATTTTCCATGGATCGAAGTCGTACTCATCCTGCTGCTGCCAACCACCAAACCCACCAAACCCACCAATGCCTTGTCGTTGTTGCCGTTCATCCATGGACGAAAGACGTCGCAGATCTTTGCAAAATTAGACAATTGAGCAGATTTTTTTTGGAGGGGATGCGAAATGGGGAGCATTCTGCAGGCAAATTTGCAAGGCTCACAGTCAAGATGAGACTTTTTATAAGAATTTGTAAATCCGGGTAACAATTGCAGGTCGGGTCAACTCAGGTCGGATGCATGACATGGATGGGTGGTATAGTTGGTATGGTTGGTGCTATAGTTGGTTGGGTGGTTTGGTTGACAGCAGCGTGCAGGCAGGGTAATTTATTTAGATGAGCAAGGTGCACATTTAAAACACGCATAAATTCTAAACAGAAATGATTTTTGAATCATTCTTGGAACAAGGGGGAAATAAAATAAGTAGAAAAATCTCACCATTTTCTGCAACTTTTTGAATCACTCGCATCGATTTGGACTGGACTGGTTCCCTCTCGGCTTGGTCCGCGATGGTCACGCTGTAGTATAAAACCGTGTTAATAGGTTTATCTATGAGCAATATTTTAGTTATAGTGCCAATTACTTGTTTACTCCAGATGCCAAATCTCCAGTTTGCTGTTTATACGCTTCAGCCGCATTTTGTCCAGAATATAGCCCAATCGGATTATTATATGTGGAAGGTGTGGCTCCCTTCTTCATTCCACCGGTCGGAGTTTGTCCGCCCGATCTGGTCTCAACCTATGGCCAAAATTATGACACCGTCAAAATCCACAATTTTTTAAAAATAAATGACGACCTCATATATACACACCTGGATCGGAATCGTCCTCGTGGGTGTCGGCCACCCACGCTCTTGCTCGGCCTGAATTTGATGCTCCTTATTTAAACTTTCCTGTCGTTGGATCTGAATCGGGATGACCCGGCCTAAATGTTGGGCTGCTTTTGCCTTGCTTTGTTCCGGTGACGCGGCCCCACCGCCACGCGCCGCCAATTGCGGATCTTCCTTCTGCGCCATGGCGATCGGAATCGTGTACACTATTCCAGCTCCACCACCAATTTGTGACGAGGAAGGAGCAGGTTGACTCCCACCCAGGGTTCCCCACGGGGTCGAAATATTTGCGGGGTTGACATACGGCGGAGACTCGGCTTGTTTGGTGGCCATCTTATTGTACGAGTTCATCCACGGGGTGGGGGTCTTTTTCAACTGGGGAGTTTGCATGGATGGTGGTGGTTGTGGTTGTGGCTGCGGTGGCGTCCTTGGCATAGACCCGGCCGATGAGGGGGCCGTGCTTGGACTGGGCGTGCTGTACGTGGGGGATGAAACTTGTTGCTCTATTGGGGGGATGTAAATCGATCCCAAGTTTTGCGCCTTGTTCTGCGCCGCTTGTCGGTAGTGTTGTTGTTGTTGTGGTTGATTTCGAGATATTTGTTGCTGTTGCTGCTGGACCGGTGGTGGTGGGCTGATCGGTTGTATGTAAATGCTTCCCTGTCCAACATTATTATTTGTAACGGGGCGAACACGAATTTCCTCTTCAAATGGGTAATTTTGAGGTGGTGGTGTTTTCGCTTTGACGGGGGGAGCAGGAAATTGGGGACAGGTGACCATGTTGGTTGGAGGTGTGGGTGGCTGTTGTGTTGGGACACGGGCCAAAAGCTCGGCGTGAAGTTGCATTTGCATCGCGGCGGGCGATGACGCCGGTCCGGAAGAAGTGTTATTGGATGGGATTTTGGCCATCATCGGAGGAGGAGGTGGTGGTGGGGGTGGTCCACTCTTGTTTCCGTTCGATATTCCTTGTCGAACAGAAACTTCGCCAGTACCGTCTGTGTAATCGAGCGGTTTTGGGGTTCGATTTAGCGTTTGTGCGGCTCCCTGAAGTCGTATTTAATAAATTTATGAAATGTGAATTTAAAATGGGTTGACAGATAAAGATAAGTTTTTCAAACTACATAGGTTGCGAATTTTTTGCAAAATTTGAATATTGAATATTTAAACTTTGGAAAAAATTGATGAAAAATTGATGAAAATTTGAAAAATTTAATATTATATTTCAAATAATTTGTCAAATAGTCTGAAACTTCTCATTATTTCCTCACCTGCGGAAATACGCAGAACGCCATTTGCGGCTGCATCGCGGCCATTGCTGCGGGTGGGAGGGGACCTGCCGACGGCGAAGGTGTCGTTCCTTGTTGCGCACCGCCGGCCGGTTTCGGCGCGGAGGTTACACCTTCTGCAGCCGCGTTCATTTGTAACCTTTTAGCCATTCGAGGACTGCGGATTTCAGAGAGGTCAATCCCTCCCGGAGTGTAGGTGAAGGGCTGGAATTCAAAAAATTGGTCAAAAGTTGAACTTTGTCCACAATGATCAAATGATTTAGTCAAACTACCTTCTTGTCCTTCATCATGGCGCCGGCAAGAGCTGCAGGGGGACCCTTGTCCCTTGGACCAATCTACTTATCATCATAGTATCAAGTTCCCCACCCCCAAAAAAATAAATTTCCAGTAAAAATTTACCTCAGAATTCAGTCTCACGGAGAGAATCGCTCCTGGCGGTGCCATGGGTGGGGGCGGAGGAGGTGCAGCACCTAAAAATTTTTTTTTTCTTTTAGAAATTAGCACAAATTCGAAATCAGATCTTGGTTTTGGCGAGTATTGTACCTTGAGCACCCGAGCTGCTTCCGCCTCCTCTTCTGCAAAAAGCAACATTTCATTACATGAAGTACAACAATGTGTTTGAGTTATCTATCTCAATCGCAGAACTGATTGATTGACGGATTGATTAATTTGAATAATGGGGGTCGTTCGTATTTGCATTGCTAACAATTGAATAATTTCTCATCTTTTTGCCAACTCATCGTCGTCACAGATGAAAGAAGTACATTGTACATGACATGAATAAAATGACTTGATAAGTACATGTCGGACTACTAACTTATCCTTTGATTGTCACATATTGCCAACTCTGGTACCAAAAATGTATGAAATTGTCCAATCTGAACCTTATCCCTGCATAAAAAAGTACCCAAAAAATGGAAAATCCATTATTACGCCATAACATTCCAAATTCCAGCCTACCCACGCACCCATATTTTATCAGATAATAGCCTTTTAAAGCTTTTAAACTGATTGAAAGTACCCATCCACAAAAAAAAATCTTGCAAAATTCTCAACCTTTCACTTCACTCACTCAAAAATTATCCACACAAGTTTTTTTTCATTAAACATGCAATTAAAATTCCAACATCCAACCCACCCAGAACTAAATTAATTGAATTAATTAAAACACCATTAGGATAAGTAATTAGATAATTAGCTTACAAAATTGTCTCAATGATTGGCAAAACCCCATCGTCTCGCGTGACGAGGGCAGGATCTTGCTGACTGATAAAGGCGTTCGCTTCTCCACTGTAGTTCGTCAACATGTCGCGGTACATCGTGTACACCAATTTCTTAACGCGGGGGTCGTTCGGGTCCAAATCCGTGTTATTATTATTTTTCGCATTGTTGTTATTGTTATTTTTATTGTTCTGCTGGATCTGGGCGACGCGGTGTCCTCGAGGCGTCTGTTCTGCCACCGGCATGATGATCAAGATGTAGATAGTTAGAAATTTAGTATGTAATATCACACGAAACTTTTGGTTACCAAAATTTTGTTATTTGTATCTGGAAATTTTAGAAATATAACAAAATAAATACACGACTACACAGATTCATTGCGAAATCGAGACTGAGCAAAAATTGTGAAGGAAAGCTTTAGTTAGTCGAATAAAATGGCAAAATATCAGACAAAATAAAGATATCCTAACATTTATCTCTCTCTTTCTCTCTTCCGTAGTCCAATATCATTTATTTAGTCGAGCTGCCAACTACCTAAGTAACTCGCCAGGCAGACATCGCGACGATCATCATCTGCGTCAGTTTTGTGGTATCGAGGACCAAGGAGTTTATTCCTCCCAAACGAAATGCAGTCGTCGCGAGTCCACCAGATTGATCACGATACTTACGATGATATCAACCAAAACATGTTTAGCAAAATGGCGAAATGTGTATCTAGCTTTTAGCAAAACCCAAATCCACACCCATTTCACTCACTCACCACACCAGACTCAACATTAGAGTGGAGTGGAACTTGTCCAAAAAGTAAATAACACACAAAGAAGAATGAACAACACGACGGCAGATGCGTTCTTAAATTTACAAGAAAAGAACAAGATGTTTCAAAACGATGTGAATGTTACGAAAGGAACAACTAATGAGTACCAGATGTGCGCATCTCTTCTTCTCGAGGGACACAAATGTATCACGTACTTATGTAAAAGTAACGCTTAATTTCGCCCAATCTGTCGTTTCGTTAAGACAAAACCAAACCACCGTTTGTGTGTAAAACGAACCGTCATTACGTGTAAAATATTAACGGTAAAGATAACATAACGTAACATTGTCTGGATTGGGAAAGGTTTTAAAAAAAGTGTGGCCATAAAATAACCATTAAAGTATTTTGCACAATTGCAAATATTTTTGCAAAACAATACGCATCGAGAGAATTACATTACATTGATTACATCATTTTCATGGACAGAAATATATGAACTATTGAACATAAAGAGAAATATGGTTAAAAAAAATTTGTACCAGAGTTTACCAACTTATGCAAATATGCACACTAATGCAAATTACGGAACAGTACATTAATCTGCCATTACTGCCATGCCATACGTAACAATCTGACTATTCAGGTAACGTATTACGTCCTTCCTTCGCTTCCCCTACGTTAATTCAATGGGGGACAATAAGCTAATGAAATGGAATGAATTGGCGAGAATTTTATCGTATCAATCAAATCCATCGGTAACAAAATCTATCCATGCAGCACAAAATAAATTCCTATTCTCTTGTAGCTTTTATATTTCATTAACGTACCACAGAACTCTGTCGTCCATGATAATGTCTCAATTTGACTATAGAATATTTGAACTCTTAACTATGCCATCCAATGTACGGCGTGGCGTCCAATGAAATAGTTTGACTTTCATGACGGCCTTTTGCACAAAGAGAGAGATGCATTATCTCCTTTTACATATGTATTTACAGATAGGCTACTTTGATTTGGTTGGAATATTAGAAGCGACGACCTTGGCCTCGGTCAAGCCCAAATGTGGAAATGGAAATGTAAAATGTACATATCTGCAGATTAGATGGGCGACATTTTATTTGCTAGAGTAGAATTTTGTCCCTGTATGGAAGTCGAGATTGAGACTCGCTTTTCTTCTTCTTGACAAGAATTTTTGTAATGTGCATAACTTATCAGATTCATACGTACGTAAATGTGGGTATGAAATGAAGAAGCTACATACTAAACTTTTACATTTTTTTCACTAGAAACACGTAGCTTAGATAAACATTTCGTCGGAATATTATGTTTCTCATGCTGGGCAAACAAATTCGTGGTCGGAAGAATGAAATGGAACGACGAATGTCGTAAAAATTAATGAAATCTAAACATTTACAGAGAAGCGCATGTATCAAAAAGCATGGAAAATAGAGAGATATAGGAAAAGACGTTGTAAATAAAATAATAGATATGTATTAAAATCTGATCCTTGTACTTACCAGGAATGAAATCTGTTACATGACACCGTGTCAAATCACAAGAAGAAATGAGATAATATAACGAGTCACACGAATCGATATAGTGATCTTAAATGGATGAATATTTCTTGAAAACTCACAACTATTTTACATGCACAATATCAACGGACAAATCCACGTTGTTTTGCAAAAATTGGAAGAGAATAATATGCATAGGACTTTGGTGACGAGTCTCAATCTGCAGAATGAAACGACTAAGCAGAATTTAATGATCAACTGCTTTTACATCCATCCATTGTTACCACATGTATGGCGTCATCTCCTTTTTCTATGGGATGCAGGAGGGATAAATTTGTTAGTGGTGGTGGTTTGGTTGGCAGCAGTGGTGGTCATGAAATGTGATGATGACCTCACACCCCAACTATGACAGTGTTATGGCTCCTAGTTTGTAAAAAAAGGTGGAAAAAATGGACTAAACAATGACAATTCGTTACACGAGTCATATTCTATAACAAACTAATAAGATTGTTAAGCATTTATATTTTTGTTAAATTTTAATCTTGTTATGTGTCCAAAAACTGCAGTAAAAGTGGTCAATAAACTGGTCCATATACTGATTTTGAGATGTGGATATGAGTACGTAGCTCATTCGTTAGAATGAATGATGATAAGAAATTCATGAGTAATCGGAAGTGCATAATGTGAACTGCATCTGGCTCTGGATGAAGGTAAAACTATGCAATGAAATATGATTCACTTTACAAACAAGTTGTGTTGCAAAATTCCATTTGCAATTTGCATGCTTATTTTGCACCCTGATAGTCAAATAAGATTCAAAATACGAGATAAAATCAGGAAATAAAAAAAATAAGAGTTTAGCCGAAAAAAAACTGGACTACTTTAATAGACGATGATGTCATATATTGGTCGCGTGGGCAGCACGACACCGACCGCCGTATCATTTTATGTTTCTCAAGGTAATGTAAATGACAGTTTGTCCTCTAATGCATAAAGAAAGCAGTAATGCGATGATAAGTACTTATCTGCAAATGCACTCACCTCCACGGAGCTCCACCACCACCACTCGCACCTTCACCCACACCACCCTCACTTCCTCCCTCACCACCACTCCCACCACCACCACTTCCACCTTCGCAATTCTCCATCTTAACAACAGACTAACACCACACCGGCATTAATCGGAAATAAAAAGTTGATATGAAAAAAAAACTAACTCAAACTTTTATTTCGAAAACCAAAAGAACAGGAACTTTTATAACAATATTTTGTATTTTTTTCGGAAAGAGGAAAAAAACTAAATCTAATTAAAAGTAATAATATACTGATAATAATAATGGTGTCTCTCTTTCTCTAAAGTTTGGAGACGACGACGACTTCGACGACGACGACGACTCTACGACACCACGAACCCAACGACGAAAGCAGTCGGCATTATAATATCGCCGGAGTGGAATATGGATTGGATATATGTGGGCCGATTTTGGCCAACTTCCCAAAAAATGTTGGGAACATGATCACCTTACTTTTGAAAAGTCCCCTCTCCTCATATATGCATGCAGTTAGTTAATAGTTTTAGCTTATATTATGCTGCATTCGGCTAAACTTATCCGACTTCTGTGGTGGTGGTGGATTGAAATGAGTGGAAAAAATGTTGACTTTGGTTCGCATTTTTGGGGCAACGGCCGTCTATGAATCGTCTCCAAAAATAGATTCCTTTTTGTCTCCGGCGTCGTCGTCGTCGACGTCGTCTTCTCAACCGAGAACGGGACAAGATCACGAGAGATATGTATCGGGGGACCTGTCAATGTTGACTAGTACTGCGGGCTGGCTGGAGGAGAAGATAAGATGTGCAGGTCGGTTTTGTCGAGATGGAGTCAGTGTCTTGTTGCACAATGGAGTGTCATTTGGACGTAATGACGCGTGGAGTGGAGTTCAGACTTATGTATGTGACGAAATTTGAGAAGTTTGGTACAATTTTGACAGACGTGGAAAATGGTCCAGTTACGTAAGGTTCCTGTGACCCCATTTTTATCAGTGTTACGAGATCTTTTACCGTCCCGAGGTCAACCATAATCTCGAGAAAGGTAATGATGTCAACCCCCATTTTTTCAATTATGATTTGACATGACATGACATGACACTGATTTGTTATGCAAGTCCCATTATGCTTCGTGTATGTATATCTTGGCAGAAAGACAAAGACTTTGAGACAAAGTCATCTGAATATTTTTAATTAGGCCAAAAGACAGATTATCGGATCTGATTTGAAATTATGCAAACATTTGGCATATGCGATTTTGCACTCTGACTGGACTACATTACACACTGGAAATTCATGCCATTTTTGAGGTGATGATGATGCACCTTTGCCATGTGCAATGACTGAGTTACTTATTTTACTATATACACTTTTCCACTGCTTGCTCTGCCATGTCTTTGTTCTGCACCAGGTCCTTTTTCATTGGGCAGTAGGTAGGTTAGCCAGGCTGGATTTTTGCGAATATATTTTCGCGATTGCTCCGTGTTAAAGAGACCAATGGGTGCCTCTCCTTCGCTACTTTTACGTACGTACATCCTTCCTTTTATCCCATGTCGACTTTGGCAAACCTCAAACCTTTGCGTTCCCAAGTAATAAAACTTGCTCAAATTTCACTCATTTTATTCCTTATTATCGGGGTCGTCTCTGTTCTCTAATCTCCTCGTGAGATCCTGTTTTCCCCCAACTCCTCTCAAATTACTGACCTCACCACGACCATCTTTCATCCATCATTATTATCATCAGAAAGTTAACTTAACTAGAAAATATGCAAAAATAGTACGTTATAATAAATAACAAGCATCTTGACATTTGTTCCCTGCTGCAAAATCCAATTGCCTTAATGGTCACGATAATAGAAGAAACTTGACACTGACGACCAACAAAAAATAATGTCAACCCTCTCTTCCGATGATGATGACACATACAATAGCACATAAAAATAACTAAATACTGTTTGTTTTGACTCCACATTTCAATTACGCAGTTGCTCACACAGACAGCTTTCTAAGTATTCTATTTTGTCCAGCAGGCAGACATAAATCGGACCCTTCCTCCACCAACTAAATCTCTCCCTTCTTCCTTTGTTCATAAATATTATTCCTTGAACTCAAACCCAACAATATCCACAACAATACTCTTTAGCAAGGTGCCTGCATGTGCGTTCCTCAGCTGTTTCTACCAGCCCTACCAACAGCAAAAAGCTAATACAGCAGCGATAAAGCAGCCAAGACGAGTCCAAAACTCGGGGAGAGTCCAAAACCAACCAAAACTTGCAGCAAGCAGCAGCGACGACGACTAAAAAACTCACACAGAAAATCCAACTTCATCCACCCTCGTCCATCGTTCGTCTCTCGACAACATCACCAAATCACCATCATCACTTCCAATTCCAGGCGAGAAGAACCAACAGCAGAAGGAGAAGAAGAATCGAAATGAAATATTAATTTCGACAAGGACTTATCCATCCACCACATTCCGAAGTTGGATAAGAAGGTTATCATTTTTTGAGGAAGGGTAAGCAAGAAAAGTTTTGAATTTTGATTTTCTCTGTTTGCTTGTTCTTCTTTTCTGCTATTGGATTTGGTTGGGAGAATTGGGAGAGAGAGAGGCAGGCGAGGAGTTTTACTTGCTTAGCAGCACAGGCAGGTTGCTCAACTCAGCAACTACTCTACAACCAGGCCACCATTGCATTGATCCGACCATTGCACAACTTGTTTCCAACTTGTACAAGTTACTTCTTCTTCTTGAGCCTAGCAGCAGGAGGAGGAGGAGGATAAGAAAAAACGTTGTTGGAAATTTATATTTTGGAAATTTCAAGTCAAAATTTGGGGTAAAATTTCTGGGTAGGGAGATAAGTATTTCTTTGTGTGGGAGGGGTCGATAAGTGAGGTGAGTTTTATTCTTTCTTTTGAGGAGGTGCTGGTCTGGTGGTGGCTGGAATTTTGTTTGAAAAGTGACTGGCATGGTGGAGTGAAGGGAATTAGGGGATAAGACAAGAAAGATAAGATAAGAGGAGAAGATGGAGAAAAAGAAGTAGAACAATATGGTGGATTTTATACATTTTTGTTTTCCTTTAGTTAGTTCAGCTTGTCATTTGTTTCTTGCTTATCTAGTAGGAGGGGGAATATTGCAATTGTTTACTATTAATTAATTAAATTGGGGTTTTATTTAATTTGATTAATTGGTCTCATTCCAGGCAGGTGACGACACATACGTTGACTTGTTGAACCACGCGGTGTGGTAGTTTTTTTTTGTGGACGTTGGAAAAAAATTGTCATCTTATTCTTTTGACCAAGGGGAGTGGAGTAGTTATTACTTAGCAGCATTCGTCATAATTGTGAGATTGTGTAGCAATTACGAATTTCGAGGAGGTAGAAATATAATCAGGTACTTACTTTAATTTATCTTTCTTTATAAATCTGGGGTAACTTGACTTGAATTCAATTAAACTAATCCTTGTGGGTGTGGTTTGACAGGGGTTCTTTGATTTTAAGTTAAGTTTTGAGCGAGTTGGCATGCCCTCTGCGGTGGCAAGCGTCTATGGCCGATCACGCTGACGCCATCCCATCCAAAGGCGCTGGGAAGTCACCCAGAGTCCATAGGACGACGAGGCGATCAAAATCTACAGTGTCAAATTTACAAATACAAACGGCGGCGGTGACGAAAAAGAGCAGGAAGTCGACATCTAGTTCTTCGCAAGAGAGTGTGGCGTCAGGTTCAGGTCTTCTGGGTGGGAGCCGATCAGTCGCAGTGAAGAGGAAGTCAAGCAACCAGTCAAGGTGGGTCTCGAAAAAAATTTAAAGTTTTTTTTAGATTATGACTTGAAAAATAATGATCAATGTTAATTGTTTTGTTAATGTTACTTTTTGCAGAGCAAAACAATCTGACGGTGTAAAAAATAGTAAAATTTCAAAACTTGAAGAAAAGTCATCATCTAGCTCAGCAGTAGCAGCAGCAGCGGCGGCGGCAGCAGGAAGATCAACTAACAACAAGACGCCCACATTTAGTCGGACCACCTCCTACAGAAAGTTAGTAACAGACCGTATTGACTCGGGTAGCACTACTGAGGAAGACGACGACGCCGAAACCGAGGACGAAGAAGAAGCAGGCACAACGGACTCCTCGTCTTCATCATCCTCTCCTCAAGCCTTGGCTGGAGTTGGAGCGAAAAATTCCACACAACACCAAGTTTCCACGTCGTCATCATCATCCCGTTGCTGTACTCGGAGCCGCAGTAACAGCGCTGGTGTGGTGAGCGGTGCGAGTGGTGTTGGCGGCGGTAGCGGTAGGGCCACTACTCTTTTGAAGAAGAAATCTTTGGTGGAACGGAGCAACGACGCTTCTTCAGCATCTACCTCGACAGGAAGTGCGAGACACGTTTCTGGAGGAGGGGCGAAGAAAGAAGAGGAAAGTAAAAATTTAAAGAGTAAAGTTCAAGAAGTCCCAAAGGAGCCGTAAGCACAAATATTAATTCTACAACAACGCCTTGATAAGTTATGAGAATGATAAGATAACGATAACACAATTTTTATTTTTCCTAGTGTTTCGTCCCGTCTGCGCCAACTTCCCAGCCGTGTCGCTGCTGCGAGTCAGCTTCACGTTGCCCGGATTGCACGAGCTCATGAAGCAGCGAGAGCCGCGCAGCAATCCGCCAGCAGTTCGTCATCATCTACATCGAATAATAAACAAAAACGAGAAGTGTCAAAAACTGTTGCTCCAGCCAATTTACGAAAAGTTGGGCTAGTTTCTTCTTCTACCGGATCTTCTACTTCTTCATTTTCCCAAAGTGGGCGACGAAGCCCGAAAACAAAAAGTGAAACAGAGTCTGCGAGAAAGGCATCGTCCCCCAAAACTTTAAGAAAGGCTAAAAGCGCCACCGCTACTTCGCAACAACAACCACAAAATAATTCTGAATTGGACCAGTTACGGTATCGCCTTCGAAGTCGTCCCAGCACAACCTCGTTTTCGTCCACTGACGTTTCCGATAAATCCAATAAGAATATCCGGTCATCCACGAGTGGTGGTGTAGGTGCTCGCCCTAGAGGAGCAAGAAATACCAAAAGTCTCGATAATAATAAGGTTGTAAACTTTCCAAGTGAGAATCCCTCATCGGTTCGTGGGAGTGGTCGTGGTGCTGCAGTCGCCACAAGTAACACCACGGGGTCTTGTGCCAGCAGCAGGTAATATTTTTTCCATTTATTTGTGTATTTGTTGTATATTATATTCTACATGATTTGTTTTATGTATGGAAACGGAATTATTAGTTTAAATGTTTACGTGATTCAGGTGTGGCAGGGGAGCAGGAGGTCCTTCTGGTGCGGAGGGATCTGCAACTGGGAAATCTGGAGAGCCAGGAATGAACACCTCATCATCTAATCAACAATCCTCATCATCTCGACGTGGTGTGGTGGACCCGGCAGCTTCTGAAAATAGTGGCACATCTGCTGGCTCTGGTGGTCCGACTTCATCATCAACATCCACAACAGCTATAGAGACAAATTCCTCTTCTACTACTGCTGGTGGCGGTGGCGGTGGCGCGGCCGCCGCAGCCTCGGCCTTCAGTCGAGGGCTGGCTATGCTTTCTGGTGAAGTAGATGCAGACGAAGGAGACATGGGACGACTACAAGCACTCTTGGAATCACGGGGCCTCCCCCCTCATTTATTCGGAACGTTGGCCCCACGAATGCAACAGTTACTACAACGGGGAATTAGCGCATCGTCCGGAAATGGTAACTAAAAAATGAATTGGTTTATGTATTTCAAATTATTATTAATTCCAATCTTGTTCTCTTTTAGTTACAAAAGCCCAACAACTTCTTCAAGGCCTTCAAGCCACTGGGGACGAAGGTCAACAGCTGCAGGCAGCGATTGAAATGTGCCAGTTGCTCGTCATGGGAAATGAAGACACTCTGGCTGGCTTCCCCATTAAACAAACAGTCCCCGCCCTGATTCAACTGCTCTCGATGGAACATAATTTTGATATAATGAATCACGCTTGTCGTGCCTTAACCTACATGATGGAAGCCCTTCCCCGATCAACTCCCGTCGTGGCCGAAGCAGTACCCGTACTCTTGGAAAAACTACAAGTTATTCAATGTATGGATGTGGCGGAGCAGAGTTTGACCGCGTTGGAAATGCTGTCACGAAGACATGCAAAAACTATATTGCAGGCGGTAGGAAGTTTTTTTAATATAGCATTATAGTTATTTATCTGGTACACGATCTAAAGTAAATTTGTCTTTGCATTTTATACAGAAAGGGGTCGAGGCTTGCCTGACTTTCTTGGACTTTTTTAGTATCGTGGCGCAAAGAGCTGCCCTCGCCATCACTGCAAACTGCATGCAAAACCTTCATTTGGAAGAGTTTCCTTTGGTAGCGGATTCTCTCCACTTTATGGCAACTCGTCTCATGCAACAGGATAAGAAAAGTGTGGAGAGCGTCTGTCTGGGATTCAGTCGTCTCGTGGACTCCCTGAACGCTGACCCGAAAAAATTAGAAGAAATTGCCGGGCCTGAACTGCTTGCTAACTTGCAACAGTTGGTGAGTAGTTTTTGTTTACTTTATCGGTAATCGTTATCATGAGCAAATAATTGATCGTATCAAATGTATCGTGGTGCAGCTCGTAGTTACGCCACCAATCGTTAGCACTGCCACTTTTATCCTGGTTCTGCGCATGCTGGCACAACTATGTTCTCGGTGTCCAACCATTGCTGTGAAGTTACTTGAACAAAACATTGTGGGGACTTTGTCATCTTTACTGTTACGATCGTCTCCGGTCACGACGAATTCAGAAAACACGGCAGACGAAGTAAGCTTTTAAAACAATTAGGTTATTAACTTTCACCACCGGATAACTTAATATGGTGAATTTATTTTGTAGATTGAATTGGTCCAGCGGAATCCACAAGAACTCTTGGAAATGATGAACCTCATTGCCGAACTTTTACCAAAACTTCCAAAAGACGGCATTTTCATTGTAAATACGATGATGTCAAATCCCGTAGTTGCTGCACAAGACGCAGTCCAATGGCAGTGGAAGGATGATCGGGGTCAATGGACTTCGTATTCTCCATTTGATTCACGAATAATTGAGGTAATTAATTGGTTAGCTTTGTTGAGTTAAGTTTGAGTGTATTAACGTCTTAATTTAACTACAGGCTGCACATCAGTCTGGCGAGGACGAAATAAGTCTGTCTATGCAAGGAAGAACTTACACGGTGGACTTTTTGGGACTACAACAAATAAATGAAGACACTGGAACCTCGCGTACCGTTCAGAGGAAAGTTAGCCCGTTTTTCTCTTTGAAATCTGGTAAGTATCAAATGTACTACTAGGAACAATGTTACTATGTTTTGTGCAAATATGTTATCGTGAGAGTAATTTGAAGGTACTGATGCAACCACTGCTGAGGTTCCTGCGGTACCAGAAGATGAGCGAGCTACATATTTGGCCCTACATCCCGACTTTTCTCTCCAATTCTTACGTCCATTGTTTGCCCTTCTCTCTGAGGCCAACAGTTCTTCTGCTGGTGTAAGTCTACTTTCTGGTGTTGGTTGATGTGTTATGCAGATAATAAAAAACTTGTGTTAAATTTATTTTCTTTGTAGCCTGCCGTAAGAACTGGGTGCTTAAAGACACTCCTTCGCATCGTACACTTTCTCCCAGCGGAGTCTCTCCAAAAGAATCTGAAGCCACAACTCGTCTCCAACAATTTGGCGAGTATGTTGGGATCAAGCGATTTAAAGATTGTGGTTGGGAGTTTCCAGTTATGCTATCTCTTTATGGAGAAACTCCAGCAGGATTTGTGTGTTCACTTTCGTCGTGAAGGTAAAAAATCAAGAAAAAGACAAGTTAAATATGAAAAATAAGGCTCTATGGCGCTAATTACAAAAATAATGTTTGTACACAGGTGTGTTTCATCAAATATCGCGCATTTCCTCCTCCGAAGTTGTGGGTCCGTCCCCGATCAAATCAGATATTTCATCCCTCCTCGGGACCACGCCACCCAACAGCAGTGATGTCGGACTAGTCGGTCTCGGGCTGGGAAGTCTCAACTTCCTCTCTACGAAAGCTCTCCCCTGTTCTTCAGGAGGCAGTGGTGGTTCGAGTTCATCCTCCTCGACTTCCCACCCGATCCGTGTGCCTGTCCCTTCGGTGAACCTTGCCGCTTCTGCAGCGTCCGTTCTGGGAGGACTCCAGCACCATCATCACCACGCTGAAACAATGACAAATAACGTGAGCGTGACACCACTCCTACTCTCTTCTTCTTCTGCTTCTTCTTCTTCTACTCATTCTCAATCCCCCCGACCAGCTTCTACGACTTCCCTCCACCACCCCATTATTTCTTCTCATTCTTCTATTGTCCCCCCGCCCCCCGTGAACAACATGAATATGAATATTGTTCACCCTTCGAGAGTACCAATTTCCCCTTTGACCCCACTACAAGTCCCACATCATCACACTACTACTACTTCTTCTACTTTATCCTCTTCGTCACCTTATGCCTTTAGTTTATGTGTTGGTGGGTTTTGTATGCAACAACAGACTTCATCAGCGTCGGCTGGACCCCGACCAAATTCTGGAGGTGATAATGGAAACACAATTGCTGCCGCGGTGGGTGGAATTGACATCTCATCCGCACTTGGAGCCACATCCGTGTTGACACGGGGAACAAATCCAATAAGTATCCAACCCTTGGCCAATCCAATCGTGAATCCAATCAGTGTTAGCCCCTTGACCACTACATCGGTAGACAGTGGAACAGGAGAAGCAGGAGCGGCTGGACTTCATACCAACATTTTTGGTGTGCCAAAACTGAACAAAGTTGAAAAGGGAGGAGCAGGAGGAGGAGGGCTGGTCAGCAGTGGCATTTGCCCCCCAGCGTTGGCGTCAAAACTTCCCGCTGTAGGAGAAATTGGGGGAGAAAAGAGTAGTGAAGATTTGCAATTGTAAGTAGTATTTATTTTTTTAAAGGATTTCATTGATTTGTTGGGTATATTCTCAATTAATTAGTGAACCAATTAATTGCAGGTTGTACGATCCCTTCAAGCGAAAGCGAGTGTCCAAGAGACCAATTCCCACTTCGACCACGCGTCGATCTCGTCAAGATGAAGCTTTAGCAAACTCGCCTGCAACACCAGGTACACTTTTTTCAAGTTATTTTGTTTAATTTAGTTTATTGGTTAATTATGTTGCAAAGTTTATATGATGATTAGCTATACTAGTTTCTACCACTGAATTTTAGTGAGGAAAAACCGCTCGCCGTTCTGATTTATTATTAACACTATTTTTTTAACGCATGATGTGTTTGCATCATATTCAACTCTGCATAACTATGTATTGATTTAGGGCACTCTGCTGCCGGATTTGGTTCAAGTTCATCCGGATCGAGTCAGACGAGTAAACGGAGCAGCAAATCTGGATTTTTCGCCTCCCTTCATCCATCCCGTTGGACTCGTGGGAGTGGAGGGGCGACTGCTGCCAGTAACAATTCCAACACGTCAGGTGGAAGTGGATCATCTTCTTCACGAGACGCCAATCTCACCACCCCAACCACTAATTTACCAACTGCAGATAGAACACTTCAACATGTAGGAGCTGGGCCAGGTCCCGCTGCCGGTGGGTTTGCAGCGCGTTATCACACGCACAATTTGGCATCCTCGTACAAGGAGCAAGTAAAAAATTGGCTGAAGGAACAAAGCTCTGCATTCACGATGAAATATTGTCGATCACTGTCCGAATCTAACGACGGAGTTGGTGGTAAACATTCCGTTGAGCAACACCCGGACGAATTGGTGCTTCCCAAGTTGAATGAAATTATTCAAAATATTCGCCAGGTGAGTAAAATTAGTATATTTTAATTCTAAAGCTGATTTTTTGCTATTTTTTGTGATAATTAATTAACCTACTTGATTAATTGTTTGTGTTTAAAGGAATCCAAAGTTATGGAGGCACTGAGGGATTTGCGCGTCGTAGTGATGGAGTCGGATATTTCTTCCTTTGAAATTAACCATTCCGGCCTGATTCCTGCCTTGTTGGCTTTCCTAACTGATGAAGCAGGCTATACATCGAGTCGAGATTGTCGAATTCGATCATTCATCCATGTGCTGGCGGATTGTCCTGTAAGTTGCAATTTGTTTGTAATTTAAAAATATTGCTTATTGGTATCGCACACATGATGATTAGCTATACTAGTTTCTACCTCTGAATTTTGGTGAGGAAAAACCGCTCGCCGTTCTGACTTTAACATTTTAAATGCAATAGATTTGAAACTAGTTTTATAAAGAAGAAAGTGTTAACTTATTACATCATTTTCAATATTTTTGCAGCTGGATTTCTTGAGCGGAGAAAAGTTGGAATCTGTTGTTGGTGCTAAATCTGAGACCAATAATCCGACAGCTTTATCGTCCCTTGTATCAAAACTGAACTCGTGTCTTTCTCAACTGGAACAATTCCAAGTTAAGGTACATGAAGTTCCAACAAATTCGGCTACGTCTCGCACTGCCGCGCCCACTTCGGCACTTCGATTCTTCAATACGCATCAATTAAAGGTGAGACCACTGCAGTGATAATATCATGAACATTAAATTTAATCAAGTTTGTATTTGTTTCAATGCTTCAGTGCAATTTACAACGACACCCAAGTTCAACGACACTTCGACAATGGAAAGGTGGTCCCGTAAAGATCGACTCTCTCGCACTCGTTCAAACCATTGAACGCTATTTGATCGCCAAGGGATTCGGTCGGCTTCGGGAATCCCACGATAGCGCTGATTCAGAAGACGATAACAGGTTAGTAGTTGTGGTGTATGAAATAAATATAAAATCGTGGTAAATTTAGAGTTAACTTGTTCAAGTGATGATTAGCTATATATTTTTCCGAATTACATTGAAGAAAATATGGTTGAGGTTTCTGATTGATTAATTAACACCTGAAAAGTAATTTAATGGTTTTGATTAATTTTAAGGATTTGTAATAACTAAATTAATATTTACAGTGACGACGATATCGATGACACCCTCGCCGCTGCTGTAATCTCTCAGGGAAGTGGGCGACACAAAATCCAGTTCCTAATTAACGACAATGTGCTACCATATACGATGACGGTGTATCAAGCAATTCGGCAGTTTGGCTTAGGTGGTAAGTAACAAACGTTTTAATCTTGATTTACGTGAATAATGCGAAATTATAATATATTCCAAAACGTAACTTTGTCCCTCTTCTGTTCAGCCCAAGATCAAGCAGGGGAATTAGAATCAGATCTCGATCCCTCGTCGGCTCTCATTTCAACCTCAAGAATTTGGTCTCAAACTCACACAATTTACTATCGCCCATTACCAGAGGATGCCGCGGCTGCAGCAAATGCGGCCTTGTCGTCTTCCTCCAAGAAGAGAAGTAAAAACTCTAAAAGTTCAAAGACCAAGAAGGATCCGTTGTGGAACGAAGGGACTGTTCCCGATCCAGTTCCGCCGTATTTACCCTTCCTCGTGGCCACGTTGCCAGACGGCGTCTCCGTGACTGACCCGAGTCTTTCAGTTTTGAACTTGCTGCGTGTGATTCACGGCGTGTGTCGATACTGGAGATATTTATACTGGCCTTTGTAAGTCTTCATTAGTTAGTAGTAGTACTTTAGTTTAATGAGAATTAATTATTCAAATTATTACTTACAGGATCCATGATCAGCCGCTTATTCCACATTCAGAGTTTATTAATTCAAAGGTGAGTCCAAAGTAAATTCAAGTAATAAAGTTAATAGTTAAAATAATAACACATATTTGTGTTATATAGATTGCTGCCAAAGCCCAGAGGCAGTTGCAAGATCCCGTGGTTATAATGGCAGGGAACGTTCCACAGTGGCTACAACAAATCGGAGTCTACTGTCCCTTCCTTTTCCCCTTCGAAACTCGACAGATGCTCTTCTACTCGATCACCTTTGATCGCGACCGAGCCCTTCAACGTCTCCTCGATTCTGTGCCTGAGTTGAATGGATCCGAACGGGAGGATCGCGTCGCACCTCGCCTCGATCGGAGGAAGCGAACTGTTTCACGCGATAATATTTTACACCATGCTGAACAACTTATGAACGGTTAGTAGTAATTTTACAAATCCATTTTCAGCTAAAACAGACTGGTGTTGAATTCATATGTATATGTGTATTTTTTAGATTTTGGAAGCTCTCGACCTTTGCTGGAAGTACAATATGAAAATGAGGTCGGCACCGGTCTTGGACCAACCTTAGAATTTTACGCTCTCGTCTCTCAAGAATTGCAAAAGAAGGAGCTTGATTTGTGGCATGCAGAATCCTTAGTAGCTGACGTGTCCATTTCCACTGATAAATTGATCTCGACCAATTCCAGCGGGTATTCTAAGCAGAAGGCATTTATTCACTCGAATTTTGGCCTGTATCCTAAACCTCTGGGTCGCGCGGTGAAAGCCGGACATCTTTCCAAAGTCAAAAATAAGTTTAAGTTTCTTGGAAAATTTATGGCAAAAGCTGTGATGGACTCGAGAATGGTATGCAATTGTTTAATCTAACTTGCGTAACCTTAGATTGAATTTACAATGTTGACATAATTTTAATTTTTTAGGTTGATCTTCCCCTGAGCAAAGCAGTGTACAAATGGGTCCTCGACGGAGACAATGCCATGTGCCTGGCGGACATGGCCGATGTTGATTCCACCATCGCCCGCAGTATTCGACAACTGGTCAACGTTGTATCCCAAAAGAAGGCACTCGAGAGGAAAATGTCACCCACCGAGTTGGCCACTGCATTAGAGTCGCTGACACTTGATGGCTGTCAGATTGAAAATCTTGGGCTAGACTTTACCCTTCCAGGTCATCCTTCAATTGATCTCAAAAAAGGAGGGAGAGACATTGCAGTCACAATCCACAATTTGGAAGAGTATATCAAGGTAAATATTGTAAACCATTTTTAAATTTTATTTTGTAGCATCAAACATGATGATTAGCTATACTAGTTTCTACCACTGAATTTTGGTGAGGAAAAACCGCTCGCCGTTCTGATTTTACTTTAATTAACATTATTTATGTCGGTTTGTGTTTATGCGAATTATTTAATTAATCGTTATGTATTATTTTCATATTCAGCTTGTCTATCACTGGATGCTTATCGGAGGTATTCAGCGTCAAATGGAGTCATGGAGGGGTAAGTAAGGTTAACCATGCGGTTAAGTACTCCGACTGAAAAGATCAGGATTGTATACAAAACGTGTTGAAACCTGTCTTCGTTTGGTCGTCTGTTTTTCGTTTGCGGTTTTTTTTTTCATTGTCTTGGCCTCAGTCATCACCTCATCACTCACTCAGGAGGAGAGTACGCCAACCTGATAATGACAGATCTTGATGTCCTTTGGATATATGGTAGTACCCCCTCTGAAAGCAAAAAGTGTGAAGCGGTTTGATGCCATGGCCCAATTTACGCCCGTCACACCCCTTTGAAGGCGCGCCGGATGCCAAACTAGCTGCACTAAAAAATTCGCCAAAAATCCAATTTTGTTCGGATTTTCATAATAGTTACATATTTATGATCCAACATAGTTGCTTTATCATATCAGATATCAATCTGAATTTTTTTGGAATTTTGAATTTTTTCAAGCCATGCCCTTTTCAGGAAATATTCGAAAATATTGAAAATTTCTGAAAAGTTAATTTTGCAACTGAATATGATAAAGGGACTATCTGGGATCACAAATACATAATTATTATGAAAATCCGAACAAAATTGGATTTTTGGCGAATTTTTTAGTGCAGCTAGTTTGGCATCCGGCGCGCCTTCAAAGGGGTGTGACGGGCGTAAATTGGGCCATGGCATCAAACCGCTTCACACTTTTTGCTTTCAGAGGGGGTACTACCATATATCCAAAGGACATCAAGATCTGTCATTATCAGGTTGGCGTACTCTCCTCCTCAGTCATCATTACTCGCAAATCACTCGATCGCTCATGGGAATTAAATTCTTCATGTAAGTTTTGGTTAAAATTAAAATTTGTCTTACTATATTATTAAAATATATAAATTATTTGGTTTACTTATTAATTTACCTTGTTTTGCTATTTAGCATTATCGAAATTGTTCATTAATAATGGATGTCGCCCAGCTTTTCAATCCACTCAGTCCCCTCGTTCATGTGCTGGACCAGTTGTCGGACCCCCTACCCCCTGTTCATGGTCTGGACACAATTTGGGAATTTGACGATATAACTGGGGCCCCTATATTTCCAGATCAAACCAATGGTATTATTATTTATTTATTCACATGAGTTGATGATTGATGATGATTAAGTCTTTTTTCTCTAGTTTGGAAGCGTTTTCTCCCGTCAACCTTTCTCACAACAAATTTTGCGTCCACACCAGCGGGGATATCGTTTGTGCATGGAATGCAAAATGGAGGTGAGAACTTCACTGTGGACTACGATGCGAATAATGGCGAGTGTGGTCAAGCTCGAGTTAGTCTCCTTTCTTTAATTCTTCAAAATGACGTGAAGAAAATTCTGCTTTATGATGCTGGCCGATTCCTCAACGTGACCAAGACTGTTGCTCCACTGTTGCCATACGACGACATTTATCCTTTGCAGGCATTGAGGACCACATCTCCTCGAAAAAGTAGTCCAGGTAGCCTTTACAATTTTTACACTTTTTCCTGTTGGGAATCTCATTAATATAAACGTTTTTTTCTTAGTTCTTCTTGCAGAGATCAACCTGAATTCTCAAAGGGGCTTTACTGGGGCCGGTACATTTTGGTGTCGTCATCCTTTGTGCACCCGGGGCCCGCTGATGACATCATCGCCCGTGGTTCAATGGGGCCCTGCTGCAAATCAGGTGCTACATTTGAGGTCGAGGTTAACATGTTCAAGTAACAACACTGTATCATATCCACTGTTCTGAGTGTTTACGACAAGGGGTATGGACGAATTACGTGGGTGAAAGCGAACGGGGTGAGGTAGGTTCTATATTTTAGAATCTGCATAAACTTGTGACTAATTATTAACATGAATTATTATGAACGGGATTATGAATTACGGGAACTAATTATAGGGGGATAACATACATACGAGAATTACGCAGCACGTTAATCAATTCAGCCATCAACCCCACTCCAATTCGTACAACCACAAGAGCAGCGAATTTTACGGAATTGTATCGGGAAGGATGGAGGGGATTGACCAGGATGATGATCAATTAATGAGGGATCCTTATGTTCACTTTAACTATCTTCATCGACCTGAGCACCGTCGATATACTATACTCGAAGGAGGATTCGTTAGCAATTACCAGAGACGTGGCCATGAATATTTGTTTGCATTGAAACATGGGGGTTTTGTATACAATCCGGAAAATTTCACAGGAGCATTGAATCATGTTTAATGTTTCGTCGACTTACCTAGTAGATTAAGATTACGTAGTATATATTTATTTTTGTGTTTTTATCTTATTTCTGAATCAACAGAAGGATTTGACTCTGTATTTCCGTCATCCTCTCTGAAAATGTTTTACCCCGAAGAGCTCGAAATGGTTTTCTGTGGTGCTAACCAGGTAATGAATCAATTTTTGCATGGTATAGTTAGCAAGCTATTAATAAACATAAATATCCTTTGATTTAGTCTGCGAACGAGAACTGGGAAATGAAAACATTGATGGAATGTTGCCGAGCTGACCACGGTTATACTCTGGATTCGAAGGCTATCCAAATTTTGTTTCAAATCATGTCGCAGTACAATTCACAGGAACGTCGAAAATTTTTACAATTCGTAACAGGGTCTCCTCGACTTCCTGTTGGAGGTAATTTCTAATACTTTGGTTGTTTCCTGTTCATTTTAGAGTTAGTCTAGTTTACATGATGATTAGCTATACTAGTTTCTACCACTGAATTCCAGTGAGGAAAAACCGCTCGCCGTTCTGACTAATTACTAAAATTTTAAAAACTGCTTTCTAATTTGTTCTCAAGTAAATGCATTTTTACGAGAATTTTTTTATTAATACAAATACTTGAATAACTTGCAGGTTTCCGCGCTTTACAACCTCCCCTTACCGTCGTACGGAAAACAATTGAGGGCACTACCGCCGAATGTGACGAGTATCTGCCCTCCGTGATGACTTGTGTTAACTACTTGAAGCTCCCGGATTACTCTACCGTAGAAATAATGCGAAAACGTCTCCGCGTAGCCGTAGATGAAGGACAACTCTCCTTCCATCTCTCCTAATAATATTTCGTTCTCTTATATAAAATGAAAAAATGCTAAAAGTCGTCAAATAACCGTTAAAATTAAACAAGTAAAATATTACCCTTCGATAATAACCAACCAAAACTACTCAATCCTCTACTCCTCCTCATCTGATATACGTGTGTATGTATGCAATAGTTAATTGTATAGATAGGTAGACATAGTTATTACATACAAGATAAAAAAAAACTCAATAAAAGTTCACGTTTCCCATGAATTCCATTTGATCCCTGTTCCTTCTATATTCTTTATTGCTTCACAAATTCCATTCTTCTCGATGAAAGGAAGACACGGATAAATATTAGATGGCTTCTCGAGATGGATCGAGCTCTCTCCCACCACCTCCTCGTTATTTATTAGAGTAAGTGAGTGAGTGTGAGTGAGGAAAGAGAGGAGAAAATGAAATGAAAAGGTGGACCAGAACGAGAACACTCTCCAGCCACACGAAATGAAATCACATCATGATTGGAGATTCAATTCATCTACAAGGCCAGCCAGATCAGTGAAAGGAGGAGAAAGTTGGTTTGACTGCGACTAACCAACCCTGTCCACAACACCACGTAGAAAGAGCGATACCAACGAAATATGTATGTAATATTAAGGTCGCCTCGTCATTCTCTCTCTCTAAGCTCCAGCATCATCAAGGCCACACAGCCAGCCAGCAAACATGAAGAGGAATCCTCGTCGACCCATGTTCTCTCTCTCTCTTTCATCAATGAGTCCCACCGAGCCAAACCCTTTATTCTCTCGCAACCTGGCGTGTGGAGGAGAAAGTCGGACGCGTTCGGAGAAAGTTTTTCAGAGAGAAAGAGAGAGAGAGTCAGGAATATTTTGGGTGGTGGTTGAGGTCTCTCCTTTCTCTCGTATGGGTGTACATATACGTATACGAATCACTCGTAAGCAGTGAGTGGTGACGTTGCCTGGCTCGCATGTCGCATAGCAGCAGCCTCTCCTGCAGAGTCCCAACCCAACAATGAGTAGTAGTTCACACCTTGTGCCGCCCCCACTCGCCTCCTCCTCCTCCAAGAAATCCACAGCCCAGTAGGCACTAAGGGCACCAGAAGAAGAAAAGGGTTACGGACACAGAGAGAGATGTAAGTGGACAAATAAAGTTACTTTATTTTCTGGACAACTTTCTCCCAAGTGAAAGTTGGTTGTGGGTTGGGCTGTAGGTTTTTTCCTTCTTGTTGGGAAATGACCTTGCCTGATGGGTGAAAGTAAGTAAGTGAGTCCCGAGAGCCCTTTATTTGGTGAGGTAATAATGGGGTCCTAATTGAGTGTACATGGCTGGTTGTAAATCTATACACTTTCTCCACCCATGTCATGTCTAATTGCCCCTCTCGATTCACTTACTCTCACTCGGAGTAGTAGTACTAGTAGGCTAATTTGTCTCAATATTGTAAAATAACAAGTTTCTCTCTCTCCCATATTGCAGCTCGGATCATCAACGTCATTACTTGCTTTCTACATACGTACATACATATTCATCACCAGTGTTACATACATAAATCCTTCAAGAAATATAAGACAGCCTGAAAGACTCTTCTCCTCCCTATTTGGGGAGAAAGTAGTCGTGTCATGGCGCCACACCCTCTCTTGGGGGGAGCCTTTTCCCTCCCTTTGGGTGAAAGTAGCAGTATCCTGGACCAGTTGGAGGATGACGACGGCGATACAAATAGTTTAGGGTTATCGGGAGGTGGTGGTGATGGTCCCTTATTTTCGTCTCCCTTAGCCTCTTCCTCCCCGCAGAATAATCCGCTAACCTGGCTGACCCCGCATCGATTCACGCGCCTCGTGAAGCGCGCCGTCGCGGCGGCGGGGGAGGAGAAAGTTGTGTCTTCTACTGCACCCACTGCCACGGAACCTCCCTCGTCAGAACCTGCTGGTGAGTGATTATCATGCAAATTCTGGGGGATTATGAAATAATTTTCTATCCATTATAGGACCTGGAACTGTTCAAAAGGTGTTTAACGCCGTGGAAGACATCGGTTCCAAAATGGTGGACAAGGCCGCGGAGAAGACGCACATTCCGATTTGGGGCGTCGTTCTCATCCTGATCGGGATCTTGCTGCTTATCTGCCTCGGATGTTTGCTCTGTATGCGCCGCCAGTGGAAAAAGTTCCGCTCGTCGGAAAAGGGAAAAGGCGTCGTGAAAGGGTTAGCAGGGAACAAACTGTTTGGAAAGTTTGTGTCGGATAAGATCCAACCGGAAGGGACGGACACGGGCGGATTGATGGCAAACATTGAAGACACCGCGATCGAGGAGGAGGAAGAAGTGGAGAAAAAACCGGCCGAGAAAATTGGCAGACTCAATTATAAACTGGAGTATGATTTCAACTCGACGAATGTGAGATGGGAAATTATTTTAATTAACTAACTAATTAACTAATTGACCCTATTTTTATGAAATAGTTGACCGTGAGCATTATCCAAGCGGCCGAGTTGGTCGGTAAGAACTATTTTTCGAATTATTTTTCAGTTTTATGATGAAAATTAATATTTTATGGGAAACTTTCTCTTTTCTTTTCTGGACAGCTATGGACTCTGGGGGCACTTCGGATCCTTACGTAAAAGTGTTTTTTGCTGGAGAAAAGAAGAAGAAATTCGAAACAAAAGTTCATCGCAAAACTCTGGTAACTTTTTTAAAATATATTGCGAAGCATATTTATATCACGTATAAATACAGATTTTAATTAACTAATATAACTACTTGTTAACTTTACAGAACCCAGTTTTCAATGAGACCTTTGTTTTTAAAAGCATTCCATTTGCGGATATTATGGCAAAAACGTTGATGATTCAATGCTTCGATTTTGACAGGTAGGCATTCTATTTGCACTCGTGTGACCACCAGTGGCCGCGGAAGCCGTGGGGACATGTGGGGACATTAACATTGTAGGATGGGGGAGGGAGGGGTTTATATAACATGAGGAGATGATGCGGACATCGAATAACCGAGGGGACATTGTCCCTCTGTCCACACCCTTCCACGGCCACTGTTTTCCACCACTTTCACTCTTGCATAATTTATGTCTCTCCTTTTCTCCCCAGATTTTCCAAGCACGATCAAATCGGTGAGATTCGTCTGCCAATGTGTCAAATTGATTTGGCCGTTTGTTGGGTAAGTACACATTACATACATTGTTTGAAAAAATGGATGAAAGAGTTGCAGTTTCATGCGAAAAATAAATTGCGAAAATTTTCAGGAGGGATGGAAAGATCTGGACCCACCACTTGATGAAGACTCGGTAAATTAGATTAGAAAACTTTCTCTGACCAACTTTCTCCCACTAACTTTCACTATTAATCTATTAATAGGAAGCACTTGGAGACGTCTGCTTTTCCCTGCGATACGTCCCAACGTCTGGAAAACTTACTGTGTGCATTTTAGAATGCAAAAACCTCAAAAAGATGGACTTCGGTGGACTATCTGTAAGTTTGTTAAATTAACAGTAATTAATTGACCAATTAATTAATCTTAATTAATACATCTCCTCTTTTAGGACCCCTTCGTCAAAATCAATTTGTATTTGAATGGCAAGAAGTTTAAGAAGAAGAAGACGTCCGTCAAGAAGTGTACGCTGAATCCCTACTTTAATGAATCCTTCACCTTTGAACTCACACCGGAACAACTCCCCAAGGCCCACCTTGTCCTCACCTGTTTGGATTATGATCGCATCGGGACTTGTGACCCTATTGGAAAGGTGTGTGTTTTTTACTACATTTGGGGAGGGAATTATAATTAATCGGTAATTGTAATTAACTAATTGGTTTATTCTTTTCCAGGTGGCCGTGGGACCCAATCAGGAAGGCAAAGGGCTCCAACATTGGATGGATATGGTCAACACGCCTCGACGCCCCATCGCCCAGTGGCACTCACTCAAAGATCCAGAGGAATTCCAAGCCTCTTAAGTCTCTTAAAAATTTTAAAAATCAAGATTTCCTTAATTTTCAACCCTTATTAGATACACACTTTCACTTTTTATTCGTTTTTCATAATTTCATAATTTTTTTTCGACAGACAACGAAATCAAATCATCTCTTTCTCTCTCTCGAAACCTTTCTCTCTCCATTTTTTCATAAATTTAATTTTCTCTACACTTTTCCTCCCCTTAATTTTTTTCCACATCTTTGCGTTCCCTGTAAATAAAAAAGACTTGAGGAGAAAATAAGTAATTACTAATCAGCTAAATAACGTTACATACGACGAGGTAAACATATTTTTAAAGTCAACTTAAAAAAAACTCTCTACTTTAAGAGAAAACTACAAGAGATTTATTAAATTATTGGGTAGATTTGTAGTAAAAAGTTACATTTATTACTTGAAAAAAATCTTTGAAAAGTTAGGTTATTCAGGTTATAACAAAATTATGTATCAAAGTTTTTCGAACGCTCTGCATAATTCTTCTTGTTAGATTTGAGAAGACTTTGATTACTTACGTACATAAATATGTAAATGTTTTCCAAATGATCAACTTTAAAAAAGAGTGGGTTAATTAATTACTTAATTTTTGCCATTAATGTATCTACATATTTTCAATTAATAACTTTGACCATTAATTACGATTTTCGTTAATCATACCGTATGATTCATACGATTAGTAAAAGTAGAAAAAAAAGTATTTAGCTCAAAAATTAATAACTGATCAAAACAAGAACAACAATTAACCTACGAGTATAAAAAAGTATGTGGAATGACGAAGGTTCAGAAATTATGATAAAAAGTGTGACGAATGATTTCGGTGCGAATTTTGGATGCTACTAGAATTTTAGGAATGAACGTGTTTTAAAGCAATTTTAAACTAATTATTAATTAATTAATTATCATCAAATTGTGCATTTTACTTAACTAAGCGATATTAATTAAATAGCCCACCAGAAACTTGAATAATTTTCAGAAAAAAATCTTTCCAGGGCTCAATCAGTTTTAAATAATTAAATACGTAGAATGAGATGAGGAACAATATTGTCGTGTTTTAATTTATGTACGAAAAAGGGAACGTAGTAGCAGAAAGTAAATGATAATTAAAAAACTAAAAGTTAATGCGAAGCTTAATTTTGTATAACGTAGACTTAGAAATTAAATACAATTACGGAAAAAATTGGAAACTTTGGACGAAGACAATTACAAAATGCCATTTCTTCACTTCCGTATTATATATTGTCCTTATTATGATTATGGCTAATTAAATGACTACAATTAATCATTAAAATCTATATCTAGACACTAGAGCTAAAGAAAAAGCTAACAACAACCACTACAAATTTGTCAACATAACATAATAACAATATTAGATGTATAAACTAACAAACTGATTATCCCAGAAAAAAGTAGTACCTTTAAAAAACGTAGAAAATTTATGCTTATCGAAACAGAAAAAAGAAAAAGAAATTACGACATCAAATTCAATAATTTACAAAAAATATGAAACGAATACGACGAATATTATCCCGTCAATTAAACAAATGCGAATAATCAAAATATTTAAAAAACGCATTAAAAAATTAATCATCGCGAGAACAACAGTTTATTAATTATTCTTCTATTTTATGTTTCATAATACGTGACGTGACAATGGCAATATTTCCAATTTATTCCAAAGTAAAAGAAAAAATTACTCAACGAATATCACCGAATAAAATTTAATGGAAAGCCGATTCCGAAATTATTTAACAAAACAGAGGAAAAAAATATGTAAAATTTAATAGATTTTAATTAACTGGATAATAATTAAGGTAATGAATAATTAATTAATTAATTGATAATTAACAAAAAAGAAGTTTTATGTTTTAAAACGAGGAAAAAAACAGTGGCTTTGGGTTTCATTATCCACACTAACAAATCGAGACACAAAATTCTGCAGAATTTGACAATATTATTTTTTAACAGGGCAGATTTACGTTTTAAGATGAGGAATATTGTGTAAAGAAGGAAAAAAATTGGTTTAATTTCTTAAAAAATAATTTGTCTCTCCTGCTGATTGATTCTGGATTAATTAATTAATTAATTGCCATTACTTATCCGATAATCCAATCCGACCTGATTTGCCATGATATCACAAAAAAGAACGTAATGCTGTAATAATAACGAATAATCAATCAATCCCTATTTACTACTTGGTAGCTATTTAATATAGTCGTAGAAGAAAAAGAATAGTAGTTAGTTAACTAAATAAATTGCTATTAATTAATTAATTATTTGAATTTTAATCGACCCGGTGCACGTATAAAAAAGAAAACCTACTTAATTATTAAATCCATCTCGTTAATAACTTGACATCATTATTAATTATTATTAATCATTATTATTCTGAGAATATGGATTAAATATCATCAATTATTGTTAAAAATGACGACTCTATATCTACATAATAATGATAAAAACTGGGTAAGAAAATATATAAAATTGCGAGAATGCGATGCACATAAATACGCGACGGTGAAAACGACGAGGAAAATGAGAACCATTATTGTAATGGAAATGTAGTGATGACTAAACTAAAAGTATATATGTAAAATGGTACATTATTATGTATGGGATAAGTTATAAATAAAATAATAAAATTTATTAGGAAAAATTATAAGGAAATTATTAGTCATTTTTCTCTTTTAAACTTGACCGGAAGTGAGATTTTTGGTACTTTACAAACATAATTTTTGGTACTTTTTCTGCGATGTTGGATATCATATCATGCAATTTGTCGGGATGTGGAGGTGGAAGTGAGGCAAAGTGAGATTCTGTATCTCACTCACAAGTCTCACACGTCTCAACTTGCCTCATACGTCTCAAGTTGCCTCCATCTCTTCCCGAGAAATACATACATACGTATATGCATTTTACATGGAATTGAACTATGGATTGGACTTAATTTCGTATGCAAATCCATTACGGAAAATCTACTTCGTGCCGCTTATCAATCACTTCAACTCGTGTAATACCCAAATTTAACTCCACCTCACAAACAGAGAGGACACGCCATATTTATTGTGTCATGTTCATATTCAATGTTCGGGTAAAAAAATTCGATGAAAATTCACTCTCTCTCCGTTTCAAGTATTGTGAATTGTGATTACTTTACTTACTTGGTAGCAGCAGAACTTTTATTAGTTGGTGGATGGATGGGGGCTTATCTTCCCCCACTTTAGCCAGTATTATCCACTCGACCGTAATTATACGTTCCATCAGCTCGTGTCATGGAATACATTAGTTACTAATTGGCATCATCAAATCCCATACCATTTTATTGCGTGGTTGGTGTGTTAAATAGTAAATGAGAAGAGTTATACGTATTACTTGAGAGTTATCGGGCTGCCTAGTAAGTAGTATTAGTTAGTTGATAACAGTGGCCGCGGAAGGTGTGGGGACATCTGGGGACATTAGAGAGGGAGGGGTTTATATAAAATGGGGAGATGATGGATAACCGTGGGGACATTATCCCTCTGTCCCCTCTGTCCTTCCGCGGCCACTGGTTGGCAATACACAAATATCACCGCAGTGAGAATACATATTAACCACATCCCCTACACACATTTAGCTTCGTGTAAGTATGTGATGATGCAAAATGTAAACCACAACATCCAAAATCCAACCCTTTTCCTCCCCTGTGTGCAATTCTTCTCTATTTATCTCTCTCCCCTGAAAAACAGGCATATCTCACGCCACGACACACGATTTATCATACAGTGCCGGACCGGACTGGACTTATTTAATGAAATGAATGGTTTAATTATAAGGAGCGACGGGGCAGAATGTGTGTAACTCGTAGAGTGGTAAATATATGTACAGGACACGTTGTTCTTATGCACGGGACATGAAAGAACGTGGCCATGTAATGTAACACAAGCCATAAGCCACCCACGCCCTTTCGACTTTTTACATAAGCGCGTGTGCATCCAAACCTGGGTTGCATATCCAATATCTTATCTTTTTCCTGTGTTAAGCCCACCACCTACCCCGCACCCCGACGGTGATGATGACGACGTCGACGACACGATGAGTCCATGTCAAGAACAGAGACGCAAGGAGTGCACGCAAGGTTTTGGGGGAAGGTATACAACATAAACACATTTCCGTGTTCTGTTCATCCCCATGGTTCGCTCTCGGGTTTGGTCTATAATTGGCCAACGGGTTTGTTTGCGAGAGTCGGAGAAATGCCCGGACCAAGACCCGGGTATCCACGGAGGAGCGCATCCCCTATACCGAGAGAGAGAATACAACCGCCCTGCTGCCTCCCTCCCTCCCTCTTCCCCCAAAATGCCAACTTATCTGTCCGTGCTGGCTGTCTGTACGTACGTAGTGCTATTCTGTGCTCATGTCATGGCACGATCAATGGTGGAGTTCACCCTCACAAAAACGGCATATTTGGCAATGTTCTACACCACCGAGGTCTCTTCTCTACTTGTGTAACGCAACTGCTCCAGTTGTTTTTTGCATTATAAAAGTTACTTAATTCTCGCCCTAAAAAAAGAAGTTGTGAGCAGAAGAGGCAGAGAGAGGAATCAGCGAGGACGAAGATATTCGCACTAGCTCGTGACACTTTTTTGCGAATCTGTTTCTGTTTGGGGAGAAATTTGCAGTGGTGCTTGGAAGGAGAGGAAGAAGGGTTGTTATTAAGTACGGTGACCATCAGGAGGAGATAATCAATCAGGGGGCGAAGGTGCTAATTGGGAAGGAAACGAAGGAAAATTCCGTACTTTTTTGGAAGTGAATTGATAATTTCTTTGAGTCGGTGTCACATTTTGGAAATATTTTTTTCGAAATCGAGAAAATCTCAATTTCCCGAAAAATAATAACATATCAGATCAGTGGAGCGTGGGAGGAGAGGAATCTTCACGGCAACTAAAAGCCACACTGGTACGAATTTTGATGCTATATGAGACTTTTGAGACGACTTGTTAAGAGATTCGTATTATTCGTATTTTAGACGAGTTATCACCTTGACCTTTGACCCGACCTCAAAATGACGTTACCACAACAAACTAGTCAGCAACAAAGCCAACACTTTCTCCTAAAATGGAACAACCACCGGTCAAAGTAAGTCGTTAAATTAATTTATTGATCCTCTACTTCCTCTGGGTTAACAGTAATAATAACCTTAATACGGTACTCATGAGCAATCCACTGCATTAATAACTCAAGATCAGTTAAATATTGTCCATCATAAAAAGCTGCCTCATCATCATAACTATAATCCTCATCATGCTCCTCTGGATTCTCATATGTTTGTAGAGGAACATTCTGCATATCACTAATACGACTTCTATTAACTGAAAAGGTAGTATATACTCTACAATTAACATTGACAAAGTCGTGTCGAGTATCTGGTCGTGGTGCATGCAAATAACTTACAATAACTGACCCTAAAATCGTCATAGACTCTGCTTTCAACATGTTGGTCCTGTCATATAAAATGCGGCGAGGTTCAAATGTGAACTTATGTCCACGCTCCTTTGCTGCATAAAGAAGACTTTTTCCTGCGCCCTTATCACTCAACTGCTTCTTACTCCAATCTGTGGTGACTCCTCTGTATTCGAAATGATTGTTGGATTCCCGATATAGGACAATCTTTGACTCTTTGAGGGACTCTTCATTAAATGGGACACCAAATAAGTCAGAAAGACCAATTGACTCGAGGTCTTCATCCGACACGGATCCTTGTAGGGTAATTGTGATGCCCAGAGAGTGGAGTAGTGGTTCCAGTTGGTCATGCAGATTAACGGGAAGTACGGTTTGGTCTGATACGTATTCGTAGGTCGTGTCATTTAAAGATTTGAGGATATGGCAGAACTGCAAACCAAATGGAACACATTATACACCCGCACTTATTTATGTGTACAAACTCTCAACTATTATGTACCTCAAGACATGATATTTTATCTACCGCTGCCTGGTAAGTAGTAAAAATCCATGCCTCTGTGACGACTGATGGAACATTCGGAGGATATGCTTGTTTGTGCTGAAACCACACTTTTTGTAGATATTTCTTCGTTTTTGCATTACTCCAATCCCCATCCACTGAAAGTTGGAACTGAACATGTCGATAGGGATGGTTTTCGGTTTCTTCTTCGTTGTCATCATTGTCATGAACACGGGTTATTTCCAGCACCACATGAACCTCAGTGTTGTAATGTCTAAAACAGTGTGGAAATTCGAACGAAATGTGTTTTCCTTCCATTCTAAAACAACCTGTGAACGAATAATAATTTTCACTATTACTTGTACTAATCATTACAGTACACATATTCACCCTACCTGGAGTCATGCACAACAAAAAAAGGCTTTGGCTGTTGGACTGTAGAATGAAAAATTGCCGCTCATGGTCATACAAAAAATGGCATTCTCCTCCTCTCCAAGTATTCAAGGGCATTCCCACTGCAGGATCATCCATGAAAAGTTCAATGTACTCAACAAACTCCAAAACATCATAAACGTGCCCTTCGTCATATCCTCTCGCGTTTTCGAAGTACATGTTCCACATCCCTCTCATTTGATTTACTACCGAATCTGAAATATTGTTATAATATTGCATGGGGACAACAATTTATCATAACCAAACATTGTAACTATTACTGGGCGTGGTGTGTCCGGTCGAGTGTTGACCCTTTGTTGAGCAAATGTATGGGGCTAAATCAGCGAGTGGTTCACATCGAGGAATGATAATGGTGGCTAAAGAGATGTCATCATCGATGTCCATCGTATCTGTACAAATTGTTGGCATTATTCATCATCATCGTCATCATCACTTTTGACCAACCATACCATCATATAAAACATTATCCGGCTGGAAGACATGGGAGTAAGGCAATTGCGCCACTTTTGTCGCAGCCACGATCCTCTCCAGAATCAGAACTTGAGCACGGGTCAACTCAGGATACGGAGTGGCGAATAATTCTAATATTCGATCAGAGGCAGCCTGGTCAATTTGGTCGAGTGGTTCCACCTCCTCTTCAGTTTGCATTACGTGATGTCTGTTGAAATAAGTAGAAATTTACATTCCCATCTTGAACGTTTTATTTTTTCAATTCATGCAATTCATAAGTTAACAGTGAATTTATTTTGTTCCATATAGTCGAACAACATGGTAAAATAATTGGGGAAATTACTTACATCGGGAATGCCATCTCACGTTTCTTGTCATTCAATTAAACAAAATTGTTGTGTTACAAAATCAAAATTCAGCTTTCTTTCCAAACTGTCAAACTCAAATCCTAAACAGATCGGCGAACCAAATGTGGCCCACATTATGTGGGTGAAGTGATACTGCGGTGTTTCATGTCAGACAAACTCATATCTCGTTTGAATTTAAACAATAATAAAGTCTTTTTTTACTAGCATGGTCAACGTGTTTGAGTCGCTTCTCACAGCGGAGAATTTGGTCGATGTGACGATCGCGGTAGAGGGGAAATTTCTCAAGGCGCATAAAATCGTCCTTTCCGCGTGCTCTCCATATTTTCAGGTAAGCGCACCACTTATCAAACATATCCTCTTATCATGTACAACTATTATAATGCATTTTCCTCGTCTTTTTTCCTATTTAGGCCATGTTTGTCAATCACTCGCCCTCCGATCGTTACCCAATCTTGCTCTTCCACGATATAAAGTTCGCCCATTTGAAAACCCTGCTCGATTTCATGTACCGTGGCGAGATTTCGATAGATGAAAAGGATTTGGGCGACGTGCTCAAAGTGGCGGAAGCCCTATCGATCCGAGGTCTCTCCAGTTTCGAGTCGGACGATGAGGAAGGCGACGCAAAACCGGAAGGAGGAGGTGGTGGTGGTCAACAGCAGCAACAACCGGGCCAACAGGGAGGTTCGTCATCTTCAGGAAATAATGGGACAGAAAACAGTGTAACAAACTCATCACAAGAATTTGACGGTGGGGGTGGCAAGAACAATGCTTCATCCCCCATCAGTAATCCTCCCCCTCCTCCGTCTGATATTAACAACGCGGCGACGCCGTCAAATTCTTCGCCCACGAGTCACAAATCCAATCGCAAACAGAAAGGTGACAAATTATCTACGATTAAAAAATTGTGTCCAAAATTCTGAAAAATAAAATTCTGAATTTTATTTCTCAGGTACAAAAACTAAAAACAAACTCGTCACATCGAAACGTCACCACCACCATCACCACGAAAGTCCTGCTGGTGGATCCTGTGACGCTTCCACGATGGCGAAAATGACCATTGGTGGTGGTGCCAAAGAGAAAGGTGTCAAGGGTCCAAGGATCAAATGTGAGACTGAGACTTCCCAAACCACCCAAGCAGCCCAAACGGTTCTTGCGACTATGGAGGCGGCTGCGGGCGTCGTCTTGCCCGTTAAGAAGAAGCGAGGGAGGGCCAAAAAGGTCGTTGTAGATGCCATTCCGACCACAAAACTGACTCCGAGGCCGACCACGACCCCACATACGTACGCCGCCAGCACAAAGTCGCCTTCTTCAAGTGAGTTGCAATTATTCTTTTTGCACAAAAATGTGCAAATTTTTTTTAACTCGGTTTGTTTTTCCCATGGTCAGAATTCCACCCGATTCCGTTAGCGGGGTCGAAAGCATCCATACTTCCACCACGACATTCTGTTCGGAGACGAATCCCTCGTCGCTATCCGGGACTGCAGACGCGTCTCAAACGGGTCAAATTATCCAAGCAAGACTACGCCAATGACGAGGACAGGGCTGCCGCTGCCAACAATGGAAATGCCGGGCCCAACCAGTACGAAGAGATGGATGATGCTTTACTACAACAAATGTTGGAGGGAGAGGTATATATGTACATATCTACTTGATTGAAGAATTTTGATAAATTTCCTGATTTTATACTTATGTATGAATTAGGATTGTGAACCTTTGAGTAGAATGGGTTGTAATGGATGTATTGTTCTAATAATTCCAGGAAAGCCAATGTTTGAACGAGATGAGCGTCAGGGGTTTAGACTTGTTCAAATATGCTTCCGTGGAGGATAATGTGTATCGTTGTATTGAGTGCGAAAAGTTGCGAATTCCAAAAACTTTCAAAAACAAGTATTCATTTCAGAGGCATGTAAGTAACTTTTATTTCGTTGTTAATTCTGACAGCGATTGAAGTTAAAAACCAGTCAATCAATCGATTAGTATTTTTAATTAATTAACGTTTAATTAATAACGACTTTATTAATATACTTGTTTTCCGTAGGCGTTTCTCTATCATGAAGGGAACATGAGAAAGGTACAGAGTTTACTTAAATAAATATTTAAATTGTGCCAAATTTAAAAAAATTGTGCAAAAATTGCATGAAATTTTGTCCGGATTGTATGCAATTTTTTGATAAAACTATATGAAATTTTCTGAAAAATTAGGTATTCCCGTGTCCCGTTTGTTCTCGTGAATTTTCACGTCCCGACAAAATGAAGGTAAAACTACCATAAAATAAATCTCTTACCATAATTAACTAATTTATCAATTCCTTCATTCAAGAACCACATGCGGAGCGTGCACGAGGGTTGCGTCACCGGAAATGGGAAGGAATCCAAGACCGAAAACGGTTCTACCTCATCGTCCGCGAAGGACGTTTCGACAAAGATGGAGCTCGACGATGACGAAGAAGATGGCACCCTCAACCAGAATGATGAGAGTAGCTGTGATTCCTAAAAAAAATTCTAAAATTCTGGTAAAAAAATACTACGCAAAAATGCAAAAAAAAACTTGGAGATTTTTGCCACATGAAAGAATCAATTATGGAAAAAAAGGTGTCAGAAACTGTTAACTAATCAATCATTGAAAATAATCGTAATTAGTTATTGATCTTTAATCATGAATCATTAATTAGGTTGTAATGAGTGATTATAAACCCACTTTCCGTTGTTCCTATAATTTTCATGACTTATTGTCCTATTTGTAACAATTATATGTCGTTAATTAATGGTCTGTTATAGTGTTCATAATCATCAATCAAAGATATCCTCACTAATCATTCGTGGTGCTCTAGTCAGTCAACCAAAACAGAAAAATAGTCAATTTAGCTTTAGTTAATTAAGGTGCAGTCAGTTTTAATTGTTAATTATTTGTAAATTTTTAACGCTTAATAAGTATCGTCACCACCACCACCGTAAGGTTATAATTTATAACTAGATATTTGTTCACCCTCGTTTTTTCGCGTTAATTGTTAAGTGTTAACTAACTAATTAACTAACAAGATAATTAAGTAATTATTTTTTCACTACGATTACTACTACCAATGAATTTATGCAAATGACTAAAAGGTGAAATGAAACAAAACAATGCAAAAAATACGAAGATATAATTTTTCGCACTAAAAAATCATGACTCGTGTGACTAAATCCTACCAAATTGATAAGGTATTTATAAAAAAAATACTTCGTAGATAATTAATTAGTGCATTTTAATTAATTAATTAACCTAATTAATTACCTAAATGTGCAACAATTTACAAACCAAAGAAAAGAGAGAAAACTACAAATGCAATCATGGATATCATTACACAATCGAAATGCAAGAAAAGTACATTTAAATAATGTAAACCGTAATCAAAGAAAAAAAGCATGTTCAAAATTTTTAGGAATGAATAAAAACATTGTTTTCTAAATTGATAAGCCATGCAAATTGAAAATTCCATATCTTCGTTCATCGTCTACCTTTTTTCTAGCTATGTACATAAATCAGATTTTCTTTATTTATATACATCGACTTCATACTTTTACAATAAAATCGTGTCATAAAATTTGATAAAATTTCTCTTCTTTTTACATTTAAATTTCCAGATTATTATTTTGTCCACTTTTTAATTACTTTTAAAATTTCTCTGCCGCCTCCTTCGCCGCTTCGGCTGCCGCCGCCTCGGCCGCGGCGATTTCCTGCTGCTCGACAAACTCGTTGACCGCTTTTTCGCAGAGTTCCAACTGTTCCTTCAAATGTGGGAGGATTTGCGCCATGAACTCGTCGCTGACGCAGAACGAAATGACGAACGGGTTTTCTCTCGCCCCCTGCATTATCTTCATCCAGTTTCGGTTAGAGTTGTTAAATCTGGGGGAAAATTGAGGGGGAATTAAAGAGTTATTGAAATTAATGGCGTTTGTGAAAATCTGAATTTTAGGAGTATTATATGGAAAAATATGGATTAAAAAATTCTGGGGGGGGGGGGGATTTTGAGGGGGATTAAAGAGTTGTTAAAATTTCGAAATTCTCAATTTTAGGAGTATTGTATGCAAAAAATTTGAATTACAAAATAATATTGCAAGTCGCCTCCTGAAAAACTTTGATTTTGTCAAATTAATGTGATTTGCGAAAATCTTAATTTTCGAAGTATTGTAAATATGCAAAAAAATGTCAATTAAAGAATATTGTGCAAGTCGCCAACTGACAAACTTTGATTTTGCCAAAATTCAAGTCAATCAGCCACATTTGACGGGGACTTAACAATCGTAATGATCGACGCCCATTTATCGTTTACGGGTAAAAATTATCCCAAAAATATGTACCGTTTCGCCTCCAGGGGAATATTTCTCGCGATATCACCCCCCACAAAGACGGCCTCCATGTCCATCCACAGCGTCTGAGTTTGCAGCCACATCTCCAAAATCCCTCTCGTCTTCGTATAATCGCCTAGCCGGGTGTTCAACTCTTTTTTGAAGAAACCGTGATACTTATTGTCAATCATGGCTTGGACGACGAGGATGGATTTATCCAACGACGCCATGGTCTCCATCGTCTCCGCCTCACGGAGCAGAATTTCGCCACGATTCTTAAAATGGGCGAAAAGCAGGGGGACCGTGCTCCAATCGAGTTGAAGTTGTTTCAACTTCATCTCCATTTCCCGTTCCTCCTGTGCCCCGATGCAGGCTGCATTTAAAATTTAAAATTAGGTAAATAATTATTAGGGAGCAAAATATAACGTCTTAATTATTGTAAATTATCGGAATAGTATCGGACCGTCCTCCACGAGACCCTTAAATTGCAAGATGGGCGCTTCCATGACATGCTTCAAGCTGAAATTTTCATTCTCAATGTTGAAAATGTGACCGGTAATGTCGCCAATTTTCTCCCAGTGGCGATCCTTCATGGCGCGATTGGTCATCAGCTCAAGGAGCGGACAGGTTTCGTTGAAGTCTTCGATTCGCTGTAAAAATCAGGGATTTTTTCATACCAATTTTTTAATTATCTTTAATCATATTTAATTCTGACCTGTTTCAACGCCTCGTACGCCGGCCAGCCCTTCAGCGCTTTCGGCAAGGCGTTACATCTCGACTGAAATTCGTGAATTTCCACATAAATTTTCGGAATTTTCAAGTCTCCCCACTTTATATCGTAGTATCCATTCACCGCCCGCATGACGTCGTTATAAAGCCCGTAAAGTTTCTGAAGAAGAGAAAGTTCCCGATGTAACTTCATCAAATCGGGATATTCCGTGGGAATGATGCCAAACAGCTTTTCGGCCGCGTTAAACATAACGTAACGTTCCCAAAGTTCGTCAAATTCGTCTTGAAAAATGACGAGGCGATCGGATGCATTCTGTGCCGCGAGCCCCTCCACCATGGGCCCACTCTTGACATACTTGGCGTAATAGTTGGCCAAATCGTTCTTGAATTTTGCAATAGCTTCGAACAATTTCTTCTTATTGTTTTCCTGCAGGTTGCAAATCTGTCCGTGCATTTCGAGGGCACGGGTTTGCAACCGATTGAAATTGTAGCGCAGCGTGTCCGCCCGGTTGGACTCTTCTTCCGGAATTTTGTACTTTTCCTTCCCTAAAAACGTGTAGCATTCTTCAATTGGAATGATTCCGACGTCAATGTCGACCTGTTTTGAGCGAATGTTTGCCAACGCGGTCATCACGAAGCGGATGTCGTTCATATCTTTTAACGGCGTGTTGAGATCTTTGCTCGCTTCGTCGATGAATTTGGAAATCTCTAACGCCTTGACTTTGTACTTGTCGCTCATTTGGCGACAGAGGGAATTTTTCCATTCTTTGACTTCCATGAGGAAACCCATCTTCATTTCGGCGGTGAGGACTTCCAACGGGCCGACGCGGTGGGAGGGGGCGATGGCTTCGATTTCGTCCTCTAATTCGCGATAGCTCCGCATGATGGCTTCAACCTCGGTGATGACGGGGTCGGTTTCGAGGATGTCTTTGATTTCCTCGTCGCGCGTCTCTTTCCAGAGAAAGTTGTACTGGGAGTATTGGTAGATTAAGTTTTGTACGGTTTGTTTGGCCTGGAGGACCACGGTTTGCATCATGAGAACCATTTTGCTTATGTCTTTGTAGTCCATGACGGGTTTGTAGCTGTTTTTGAGGCGAGAGTTGAGATTTTCGAGGGGGATTATGGTTTGTACTGGAAAAATTAATTGGTTATTAGTATCAGTTTGAGTGAAAATCAGGGAAATATTGGCGAAATGTTTAATAAAAACAACGTTTGTTAAGTCTCGATGTCAATAACGTGTTTTTTGTACCATAATTTAGGAAAAAAAATATACTTAAAAATTTATAATTGACACAATTCATATATTTTTTAAATACATGTGAAAATATTCGCAGAAACTCAAGAAATTGTGATTTGTACTGCAAAAATTAATTTGTTTTGATGTCAATTTTACTGCAAACTGTATTTTGCAGATCAGGGAATATTTGCTAAAAACACGGGCACAAAATATTCATTATGTCATTTTTGTTTTGTTTGATCTTGGTGTCAATAATCGATCTTTTTTGTATTTTAGTTCGTTTAAAAAAATATTTAGATTTCAAATATATGGATAAGTTCACATGTTTTTTTGAAAAATATGTATATACGCAAGTATTTTCGGAAACTTACAATATTAAAAAAAATTACTAAAAACCTACACAATGCATCGGCCGGTTGCAATCGTGGATACGGATTCGCTCCAGCTTCATCCAACTTTGAGACGTCCTTATAATACGCGTCTGCCGCCTTGTTGTCGAACGACGTGCGCCTGCTCTGCCCCCAAATGACCACACGTTTCAAACACTCCGTGATCAAAACGATGCTTCGATTGAGGAGCTGTTGCATATCGCCGAGTTGCGGTTTCATCTGAATCGTGGGAATTGTGAGGATCAAATCCGCCGTGAATACGGGGACACGGTTCAGAATTTTGCCAGGATTTCGTTTCGACACTTGTGGCTCCTCTAAAAAATTTAGCGAATTTTTGGCCTAACTCTTAATTTTTTATGTTTCGCATATTTAAGTAATAACCTGTCCTTTGGCGTAAAATGTCGAGCGAGATTCTCGTCGTTTTTTGCAGAGCTTCGATACATTTCTGATTATAGAATCCGAACACGTTGCGACTCTCTTCGTAAATGTGTTGCTGCTCTTCTTTCGTCATCGTATTCATTTGGATGGAGGGATCGACGGGGGGTTTTTCTACGATGATTTCGCCCTCTAAAAGCGTGCAAAATTCATGAAATTTATGCATTTTTCTTGGCCCAATATTTTCAAAATTCAAAAGCAACCTCTGAAATTAGGGATTGGCATGTTCGCATTCAACCACAAGGTCGGGGACTCTACCGGCGTCGGCATGTCGCACGTTCTCAGCAACATATTAATCAACTCGACCACCGCTTGCTCACACATTCTCGACTTGTACTCCAAATCCTTCGCCACGACGACGCCGTACCGTTTAATAATTTCCATATAGTCGTTCACCGTCATGGGGCGATCTTCCGGAAAATCGATCATCAACGTGTGCGAAATCTCGTAGAGAAACTGGTTAATTCGAAGATTCAATATTTCCTGCGTTTTCTTCACAATTCCTTCCAAATCGTTCTGATGGACGTCAATGTAGTCGAAATATTCCTCCCCTTTGAGCGAAGTCCAGTTAATATTTGTCACTCCGGGCATGAAAGATTTCTCGACTTTTTTCAGCAGCGGTCTCATCAGGACGGATAAGTCTTGCGGGACTTTTTGCTTGATGACTAAAAACCGCTCGAGCAAACCTTTGATTCTTTCGTACGTGTGGAAGATCATTTCCTGCTTGTAGTACACGACTTGCGCAATGTCGGGGACTTCGAGGCCGAGTTTTCGGATGATTTCGGTCTCATCGATAATCTGGCGGAAGAAAGGGTCAAAGTTGAGGACGAGTTCTTGGCGGACGGTGCCGCGCAAGGTGAGAATGGGCGCTTCAAGGGCGTCGTAGATGAAGTTGCAGGTTTTGACCCAACTTTCGTGGACGAGCATTTCGTAAAGGACGAGTTTCTTGCAGGTTCCGTTGAAGAGTTTGATCGTGGGGCGGGCATCGTCCCGTTTGAGGATGGAGGTTTTTTCTTCGAACCATTTCATGGGACGTTCGAGGCGTCTGAAGGGAGAGGATTATTATTTTTTAAAGTGGGACAATTCGGGAAAAATTAGGGACAATTTGGGAAAAATTAGGGACAATTGGAGAACAATTAAGACAATTTGGGAAAAAATTGGGACAATCTGGGAAAAATTAGGGAAAAATTTAAGACAATTTGGGGAAAAATTGGGACAATTTGGGAAAAATTTGGCTCTATTTGAGAAAAATTTGGGACAAATTGGGAAAAAAATATATTTTTGTACTTGTAAAGGTGCCGAGCCCACGCAATTTTTCCCCCAAAGGGTGGATATCCACGGGGGATTGGAGTCTCGTTCTTTTCAGCTTCGTAGATCTGTAAAATTAGCTCAATTTCGTTGTGGTAGAACTGAAAAAGGTACCAATTTCTCCCGTCGATGTCGAGACAAGGATTTTTTAGGTTTTTAAACCGCTCCAGTAAAACCTGTGGAATTTTAATAATTGTGAAAAATTGGTCTGTTGCATTAATTTGAATATTTTTATCCAATTACCAAACCATGCATACAAGTCGGACAAGCTTCGATCGATTGGTCCATAAATTTCTCCAAGTTTTCTTGAATGTCGTCAATCGTGCTGCGAATGAGGACAAAATCCGTGTCGAAGAACGGCTTTCTGAACTCGAAGGGGTCATACGTCTTCTCTAAAATTTGTTTGTGGAGGTTCTTCAAGCGCGTGGAAATTTCATCGAGGCCGTCAATATGCGAGTCGTGAATGGGAGTGTAGAGATTGAAGATTTCCACGATTTGGATAATCTTGGAAATTTCGAAATTAATTTTATAGCACTAAAAAAATTAGTGAAAATGGGAACTTTCATACCTTCGTCAAACGCTCACAGAATTGTTCAAACCGTCCAAAAATATTGTTCACGGACAAATTAAACCTTTTTCCGTCCGGATTGTCCGCCAATTCTTCTTTGGTTGCTTCATACGCGCTACGATAAACGTCGTAGAGCTCGATACATTTCTGAAAAAAAGTCAAAATTCGTGTACTAAATTTCTTTCCATTTCGAAAACTTGTCAAAATTTCTCACGTTCAGCTTATCCAGCATGACCTTCTTATCCTGCGCCCAGGCCGTGACGGTGTCGTCTTTCGTTAAGTAGCGACGACACGAGGCAATCATTTGGTTGCTTATCTGGAATGATACAATATTTAATCAAAAATTGGACACCATTTTTGTTTTATCGATTAATTGACCCACCTTGACCATCAACGCGGTAACCTTTTCGCACGTGTTGTAATACCGCGACGTCGTGTGGATCGTCCTTATCACGTACATCATGCTGTTGATGTGCTCAATCATTCCGGGAGGGTCGACCTGATAAAGCGGCGTGCAAAATTTCTCCAACGCGTACATGTACCGGACATTATCCTTGGCTTCGTGATACTCGTCGGTCACCTGTTAAATTAATTTTTAATTAATTATGTAAATAATTTGCTACTTAATTACTTAAGTATTTACACACCCTCGTGTCAACGTCCTTCCAACGCTTCAAAACTCGAGACTTTGAGTGGATCAAAACTTGAATGAAGTTTTGAACATTGATTTGCTGCACTTGTTGGATAATGTAGCACATTTTGGCCATAAGATTTCGCCAGTACGCCAATTCCGCGAGTGGACCCATCGTGTCGGTCTCTTTCCTCATTTGTTTCGACATGGCGAGAACTTTTTCGAAATTTTTGCACCACATGATCACCGTATGTTCGACTTTGGCGACAATGTCGGGATTTTTTGAGGCTTCTATTACTTCCTCCGCGGTTCTTAAATATGTCTGGAAAACTTCATCCATATCGGAAACGTTGCGGAGGTCGAGTCGACTCGCAATGTCGTGACGGGAATCTGAAAATTTATTAGTAAATACAAAAATTGAAATTTTAAACGGTAGAAATTTTAAAAATGAATCACTTACCAAACAGGAATTCTGCATAGTGGTCAATACTGGATAAAAATCGGAGCCTAATTTTTGCCGCAGTTTCCGGATCACTTACAGAAATCCAGGTGGAATTAAGTTTCAAATGTTTGAGGTAAATATTTTTCAATAAATGGTGCACGCTTTCCAACACAATTCCAGGTTCGTCGGGGTCACGAATGTCCAAAATTCCGAAGAAGACTTCATCCGCTATGTTTTTCATGGTGATTTTGTGTTCATGTCCGGTCCGGAAGAAATACATGCAGATTCCTTTCATTGGAATGTCCGACCCATCCGTGACCATGAGACGTTTCATTTTCTCCTTTTTCGTGGGTTGTTGGACTGGACGACCAGACTCGGGTCCTGGTCGCATGGATAATAATTTAGTGATAAGTACTTATTATAATTTCATTTACTTACCGGGTGGGTCGGCATCCTGGTAGCAGAAAACGACCCCCTTTTTCCCCTTCTTGTCAAAGAAACTGGCCAAAATTGCCATATATTCGGCCGCATCAATCACGAATTCTTCAATATCCTTGGGTTTGAGGTCTAAATGAGAGGCGACTGTTTCGATGAGGAAAAGATGATGCGTGTCAAGGTCGGCGCGTCTATTTTCTCTGTCCTGTTTTGCTCGGAGGATCTTCTGCTTTGTGATTTCGGCCTGGAGATGAGCGGAAATGGAATGTTTTCTCTTTTTCATGTCCTTTCCGACCTCCTTGGGCGAACTTTCGGCGGGCAGAGTGACCTTGCCTCCCTTCTTTTCGGAGGCATCTTCGTCATCTTCCTGATTGGTGAGAAGGAAGTCATTAATTACTAATTAATAATTAAGCAATGACAATTAAGTATTCTGTTCAAGTGAAACTTACCCCTTCGTCTTCGTCCTCCGGCTTCTTATCCTCAGGGGGTTTGTCGGGAGGTTGGCCGCCAGAATCTGCAGTGGGGGCTGGGGTTTCTGAAGGAGCGTCACCTTCGGCGACTTCCTCCTCTTCTGGCTCAGACGACCCTGCAGCGACTTCGGGGGCTGGTTCGTCCTCCTCTTCACCACCTTCTTCGTCAGGAGTGTTTTCCTCCTCGGACATTTTTGCTCAGAAGAACAAGTTTTTGGTTTGAAAAATTGTTTGAAATGCGGTCGTCTGAAAATGAAATTGGGCACAAAAAAATTTCTCTGCTTTTGATCGACTGTGCAATTAGGATGGAAGTTACCTGGATACTAAATAAGCATTAAGCATTCGTGATATTTTTGGACATGTCACTTTACTGATATGCACAAAGGTCAATGATAAAAGTAAATAATTTTGTATGCAAAGTATAACCGGAAGTAAAAAATGCTTTATATGAGAAAATCGGCGATTATGAAACTTATTGATGAGATGAATTGTATGCATGCATATTTATAATATGAACAACGTGCTGCTAAATATCTACATACATAAATCCCAATATTTATGTATATTAAACTAAACTATGGTTCGCGTAATATCTGTCGCATTTCCTTTCCGATCCAGCCCCAGATTTGCATTTGCATCTTTTGCACCTATCCCAGATTGACCTTTTCCCAGTTTCCGTGTCGTCATCGAGGCGTCCGACGCTGTGTCATAATTCTCCCCGTCATTCGGCCAATTACGAGTTGCCCTCCTTTCGAGAAGCTTAACTTCCATTTCGTCCAGGTCTACGTCCGAGTCTCGCTCGTCGACACAGGCTCCAGTCTGCACGTCGCGGAAGAAATGAGCGATCACGTAGAGTTGGAGCGGCTGATGAGAAATGGGGATTAATTAAATGACACAATTATCAGTGGCACCACGAATCAGTGGCCGCGGAAGGGTGTGGACAGAGGGACAATGTCCCCACGGTGATTCGATGTCCCCATCATCTGCCCATCTTATATAAACCCCTCCCTCCCCTATCCTGCAATGTTAATGTCCCCACGTGTCCACTCGGCTTCCGCGGCCACTGACACGAATGTGCATATGTACCTTGCATATCGCCGAGATAAGGATGATAACCACAATCATGGGTCTCAGGTCGGCTTCCGGTGAGCAAAATTTGGGATCCAGCCTCAACTCTAGAGCGCATCCGATGTACTGAAGTTGGGCCAAAAGTTGGAGGAAGAATATGAGAAAAATTATCTTTTTGTTGCTCGACTTTCCCTTAAAAAATTGAATTTTACATCAATTTTAGTTTTATCTCGTGCCGTTAACTATAAATTTTTGCATACACACATTTCTCGTCGTGAAAATGATCAGTATATCCGTCAGCATAAAAATCGCTTCGCTGACTTGGATCAGAATGGTGCAAAGCTCTGCAAAATGAGGACAATTTACATGGAAAATTTCGCAAGTTTTAAAAATTTCTGGTACCTAGAATGCCCATGGATTCGTATTTCAAACGAGCCAAGAGTTTCGGTGGGAGTGGGACCGTTGTGTTGATACCGATCTGGTTGTAGTACGAGTTGCAACTCATCATCACGCGGTGGTAAATCTCGTGCAGGATTTCGGCCGACGTGTTGTCATTGTGGGCAGACCCGATAGAACGGATGATCGCTTTGTATGAGGAAACCGAGTCAATTAGTCGATCTTGGTCATAATTGGGTTCGAATTGGAGGCGGATGAGGCCTTCGGCTCGCGTGTAGACGATCCACCAGAGAATTCCGGTGTAGGTGGAGAGCACCTGAAAAGGAGGGGGAGGAATGCCGACTTATGGAAATCTGGAATTTGTGAAGTTCTTACAAAGTCAACGGCAGCAAAGAGTCTGTAGCAACTGTGACAATGCATTCTTGTCTGGTTCAAATTGACGGCAATGATGTAATGGCAGCTGAAATTAATGAGTTGGAAATTGGGATGTACAAGTCAATTTTTGTTGGAAAGTCACACTAACAATGCAATTGTACATTTATTAGAAACATTGGTGAAAGTTCCTGATTTATATTCCCGAAAAGTGCTACAAAGTTCCTTGGCTACGTTTTCACTTACTACTTTTGGTGCTAAATTAATCATAATTTGCTTGGTCATCAACTTGAGGACCAACAAATTGCAGGAATGATTCGATAACTAGTGTCATGAAATTTCATCCCTGAATGTCTATACATAAATTAATTTTCTTCGTATAAACCTTGATTATGTTCACTGACTTGCATTTCATGCATCAACTTTTTCATGTGCACTTTCTCCAGGTTAGGGTCCGCTCCTCTTTTCCCACATCGGTTGATGTCGCATAAGTATTTTCTACCTTGCTATGTTATACAGTATGCATATGGATCAACTGATGAGTATGTCGCAAAATCTATTTGTTAAGTTTAATATGCAAATGATGCTCGATTTTTTTCTAAGCTGGGAATTGATTACTTGTTGGTTTACATTGCATGAGAGTTTATGCATACATTTTTTTACGAGGGGAACATTTAGTGTTTCTTATATAACTTGTCCTGCTGAGGAACATGGCGTTGAACGTATTTATGTATGTATGCAAGTGGTTTCAAAGTTGTGTTGTCTGAATAAAAAGATAAGTTCCTATATTACTTGTCCCGTTGAGAAATTTGACGTTGCATGTAAACGGCTTCAACGAGTAAAATGATAACTGAGGAATAAGTACGATTGTCCATATCGTGGTTACTTTGGTTGGGTCCCCCTTCCAGCGAGCAAGCACGTTACTGAAATGCACAACTTTCTCCATGCTTTTGTATATATACAAATCCGACAGGTCGTCATTTTCGCACGAAATCCTTGTTTGATTTGCTAATTAGATGCATTTTTAGCTGTATCTATTTCTTCTATGCCACTGTATAGGTATGTATATTGGATGATTCATTTGCATATCGATGCCAGAGCGTCTTATTGGCCATTGGAGGGTTGGGTCGGACATCTCGGTCAACGATGGACACCTTCGGAGTAGACGACGCTATGCCACGTATGAAATATTTCCAGAAACGCCCAAACTGCGCCACAGTTAGATTTCCAGCGTCATTAGAAATTTTCTAGTCATTCGATATCCACGTCAAATTCAAATCTTCTCATTTCTCTCATATTCCGAAAACTTTCACTCTTTTACATCAAATTCTAATCTTATTCATTTCCATCAACTTTCACTTTTTCTCTCTAAATTATTTTCGCTTAATTTGGCAAGCAATCTTCGAGCTTGCACGATGGAGGGGGGAAGTGGTCCGCGACCACGGGAACGACGCCGCTCATCCCCTCCAAGGACGCGCATTCGTCGGTTAACCGTGCGGGAGTGGTTTGCACGCCTTTGGTGGTCACAGCCTGACCAAAAAGGGCCCGTGGTGCAGGTATATGCATATTTTCAGATCTGATATTTGTGACTTTTTAATTGCTAATAAATCGAATCCATAATTAATGCTTACTAAATAAAGTATTAATAAATGAACCTATTAGCGATTTCTTATGTAATTCAATAAACAATTAATCGAAATTTCTAAGTAAAAATGTGTCACATTTATAATAAATATGATCCTCAGAATTAGTCAGAATCCATGTTCTTCAAATTAGCAAAAATGTTATTTATATTCATGAATTCAGTCAATCCAAGCAAAATATTTGAACCAATTTAAAATATTCCAAATCAATCCTGCAGGGCTTGAAGCAGATGAAGTTGGGCGGACTGAAGGAAGCTTGTCGACCTAAGATCCACATGGCCAAGAGGTCAGCAAAACGGTTTTAAATATTTTTTTGCATCGCATTTCATACAATATTGAACCAAACGAGCATCTTTCATACGATTAAGCTTTAATATTTAATTACTGATTAAAATATGATTAACTGCAATATGATTGAAGATTATTTACATATTGCATACATATTTAGTTTATGTACGAATGATTCATAACCTCAAGTGACGCATCTGACTAATCATTAGTAATTATTTTTTTTATGTAAATCAAAAAGTTAGCCTGACGCATTTAACAAAGTAATTGAGACGTTTTTAAATGAGTAATTAAATTTTTGTGCAAATTAAAAATTTAGCTTGCTGCGTTACTCGAGTTATGTCAATCAAACGGTCGTTAAAATAAAAACCTTTTTTACAATAATGATGTACTTATTTATTCAGAAGGTGCTTGTGCACTTTATTTGCCACCTGTCACGCCACCACATCCAGTTCAGAATTGTTTGCAAATGTTACAATTTGCATGACATATTATGTAAAATGACACGATATATGTACTCTGAATGTTTGGTTCAATTCTTCCGTGTATTCTGTTTCCGGTCTTCGGGCGCTTATATACTGCTTGCTTACTAATTAATTAAGGCTGCAAAATGTATCAGCGTAAGATTAGCTGATAAAAATGTCAGCTTTGCATACTTACTTTCATACGCTGTAAATAAGCAATATGGAACAAAGGAAAAGTTTCATGTGTATCTTTTCCAAAAATACTCCATATCTCTTCGCAAAGAATGAGGCTGGAAAAAGTGTACCATTAAATCGTGTACACTTTGACCAACTTGGTCGACGCATGATTAATTTGCTAAACAATACATTCGCATCCTGAGTTTAAACTTTAAATTGAAATTTATTTGCTTTCACTAATGAAACGAGAAATATTTAATTCATCATCTCAAAGATACCGGCCCTTAGAAATATTTAATTCAATTCACGTACATACATATTCACACATGACGAATTAAACAGTGCTGTTTATGGGTGCATCGAATCAATTATGTACATACACATATTTAAGCTAAATGTGTACATGCGTGTCACCCCTGAATTGCACGATATTTATGTTCCATCTGACTCATACGGCATCACACGCGACCATTAATTAGTTTATTCTTAAAAATAAAAACGTCTCATGCAATATTTTAAGAGCAGCCATGGAACATGTTTTTCTTTGAACTCCGGAAGTATACAAACAATGAAATTTGTAACTATTTATTCAATCAAAGGGTTGCGTCATTAACGATTTTGAAAACAATGAGTTATTACGTATGTATTTAATTAGGAATTTTTGGAGTTCATTTTTAATACATGAATGTCAAGTTATTCGTTAACTGCATAAAGAATTTCATTAAGCAATTAGCTTTGGGAAAGCTTGCATGCAATTACGATCACGAGGAAGATGGTATAGAGA